ATAAATCGTCAAAATATTGATTTTAAAACTTTGAAAATAAATTATAAATAAATAATAAATGACTTACTAGTATCTTGATTTATTTAATTATATACTTTATATTAAATAGTAAAAACAAATATCAAAATAGTATTAAAAAGATTTAATTATATTAATTAGTTATATATAATAACTAATAAAATAACTAATACTCTAAAAAAAATAAAGCATATAATAATACTATACTGTTATTATGCTTATTATAATCTAGCTCTACTTTATATAAAGCGCCTAACCCTAGATTGTATATACTTCGATATTGGCCTACATTGGCCCTGCTCCCTTGGCCTGAGACATGCTATAGATTAGCCACCTAGATAATCGTCATCTTTCTAGTCTCTTATTCTTTGTGATAACTGTTGATTTCAGAGTCAAGTAGTTTGCTAGAGCTTCCTAGGTTTCATAAATATTCTGCTACCTCGGAATATAATATCAAGCAATATCGGCTTCGATTTAAATCCAACTTCGTCCTTTCTGAACCTGCACTCATACCAATATTTCAAGACCGAAATTGTCGCAATCTATGTAAGAATGCTCCAGAGATGCCAGCAGTAATAATGGGCGTAATTTTCGGGGAACATCAGATTAATGGGCTCAAAAAGATGTTCCCATGAGTATGGAAAGAGTCTTTCCATCTAGAAAGAATTTGTGTTATGCGAGTCTCCGTGGTTCAATAGCTGGTAATCAGAGTATTCGGGGAGAAACCCCGAGAACAGATATGTACTGGCAGCCTTTTGATGTTGAAACGAGACCACAGCATTATTTGGCGAATTTGGAATCAAGTTGAGAGTTTTTAAGAATAATTTGGATGAATCCCGATACAAACCAGACAGAAATTCGGCGCGGAGAAAGCAAAATATTGACAGGCTCCTCGGAGCTCACTTGAGAGTAGTTTTATTTCGACTCCAATTTTGTTTGCAAAGGTGGTCTAGAATGATCTGAAGCTGGGCCTCTTTGATCTCCCGCTCCAGCAGAACTTCAAAAGAACTCAAATCTTAATGGGAAGGAGGTATGCTCAAAAATAGTCATCAAATAGGACCGCTGCTAGAAAGAGTCCGGAAATTCTCGCTCACACGCCTACTTTTTTGCATCACCAAGCACAATAAAACAAAGCGAGCCATATTACGATGAAGATTACCGTTTGGAAAACTATTCAGTATCTTAATGAAGTTAAATTGTTGGTGTTGAGGTTTGGTAACAAGAAAGAGAATCAGTGCTGAGAAATGGGTCACGGTCACTTGCAGATAGAAGCGAAGAAAGAGGTGCCTCATTTCACGCTAAGCCATTCCTTGAATGATCCATCGAGAAATACAAGGTATTTGATTGGGTGAGATATGGATGTGGATAATTAGTCTACCGGTATCCATTTTTGCTTCGGTCCTGGAACAACTTGGGATTAGAAAAGTTGAGACGGGTATGTTTGGAATGGAAGAATCAATGGTGTGGATTACTGTACCATTCTCCCCTTCTCCTCAAAAAGAACTAATACATATCATCATCAGGGGAGCTGTCAAATCAAATAATGACCATTTGAAAGAGGCTAGTGGCCTTGCAGGCCTGATCAGAACCGTCTTAGTTCTGGAATGTGCCATGATACCAATAAATGCATATTTTCGCAGCAGAATATAGTCATTAAAATAACCCTAAGATTAGAGCTGGATCTTACTACAGTTCTCCACTATTCTAACAATCTAGTCAAATGATGGTTCACGTATAGCATTGATGAACTCGTTTAGTTATGGAAGCAGCAAGGCTCGCGTTATTGTTGAGGATGGATGTATATCACTATCTTCGAGACCCAATCTGACATTGAACCGTCAGTGACAATTTCAATAGCGTGGCGGTCCGTCACGCTTTTGCAAATTTACCGTCACAAGACGCCATGTAATTACAACAATAAGTTTGCAGGCCGATGGTTGTAGATGAAAATCAGGAAATAGGTCCTCCAGTACAGAGCAGTCCTAAAGTATTTTCGAGCAACTCCTCGTCTTTTCTGTTGCAGATGAAAAGGGAGTCAATCACATTACTGAATCGTGCAGTAATTGTTTTCGATAAATCAGTTTTAGATATTTCATCATCAAATTAATCTTGGGACAGCTTGTCGTACACGCTCGACTCGAGGAAACTTCATTACCATGGAAGTTTCCTGGGGGTATTTGACCCAATCGAAAAACTTCAAAACATTGAACAGATGATTTCTCAACTGATCTCCAGCAATTCGAACTTTAAGCCGACCTTGAATTTTATCATTGGCCAAGGGTCCCAATGGTCACGAACGAGCGGCAAACTTGTGGAAATGTATGGTATTTTAGGCCATTCTCTTGAGATGTGCTTTATTGCTCTCAAAGATGCGGGCATGGAAATTGTGCTCTCGTTGCTGCGTGTATCAATAGTTAGAGCAGCATAACTGTGTTGCCGATGAGAAACAATTGACATTCATCTCTCATGGCTCCCATAGCTACTAAAATTTTTGACACTATCGAAATACAAAAGAAATAGCAGCTCCAAGCTTGAGCAAGATTTGGCTAACTATGATGATAATCCCAGAATCCGAATCGGTACAGAGGTTTGCATCACGCGATCATCATACCTGTTACGAAAGGGCTGCGTCTATATCTAGTCAGCAAGTTGATCATCAAGATCAAGCTCTAAATGCAAGAAGTTACGAGTTTGGCCCTGTATTTCAGAGCCTAAAGTATTTTCTTCAGTGGGAATGGCTCCAAAGCTGATGTGAACGTGTTTGATGGCCTGTTTGATGAGCAATTACAATCTCGCATAAGTTTACCCTGCGACTTTAGCTTGAGTGCTCAAATTAGGGCTAGCCTCTGAGTTTCGCGATGGATCAATATCGGGCTCTCTAGCTGTACTTACTTTCGTTGGAAAGCTATGGATCGATCCATACAAGCCCTTAATTCCACAGAAAGCAACATTATCAAAGCGATATCTGCTAGTGGAAACAGCTTGAAAATGACTTCGGGTCTAGGGAATACTACTGAGAACTTAGTCACAACCCTTGAAGATAGCGAGACACAGCTTTTAGTCAAGATAGATGGTTTTAGTGCTCGAGTATATCAACCATCGAAAGCTCGCCAGAAACAGAAGGCAATCAAGCTGAAAAGTCCATGTGTCACTCTTTGTCATAGTTTCCAGATGTATCTATGTTGAGCGATGATATTATAATTGCACTTTGCAGTCGCTTTACAAAGATGTCAGGATCTAGTGCATGTTCAAAGATTCCAACACTTAAAGATTTGGAGGATGGGAACGAGCGAGAGTTTGATATTTTGGTGTCTACAGCTTCAACATCTCCTAAGCAGCAAGATATTGAGGTGCCCGATATTTCGCAGCAAAGTGCGTCGTTGAGCAATGGTTTGAGTAAGAAGGAGAATTATACACAGGGCAACGAAATGCTCAACTCATTAGGAACGCCTTGATCACACCACCAATCAGAAAGAGACAAATGTTCCATCTAATTATCAACAACACATCTCAATGCAGTCAATAACTACTCATCAAATCCAATACGACTTCATCTCTCGTCAAAATACCGATGCCGATGCTGTTACTGACCTAATATTCCACATATCGAATCTCTCTGACACCATCATCTGCATATTTTCCCTCGAAACCAACCAGCCATTCGTCATGCGAGGAAAGGTCTCTTATTTTTATACCAGCAAAATGCCTCCCAACATGTCTTTTAGCGAGGACGCCATTCTACCTGCCGTCAGCTTCGTTATCACCTGGCAGTGTATTACTGAGGTTGCAATATTAGAAAGAGAGAATCAATCCTCATTTATCAAGCATCTTCAAATTTATTGGATGCCATCATACGAATCTCACAGTATCTTGGCGCTGAGGTTTTATTACAATTCCTCCCAATGTCCGGAAGAACACTTTGGCGGAGAGATATTGTATTCCGGAATCTCATATATTACACTTTGATGATGGAAGCTTCGTCACGGCAATGAAGTGGCTCGGCAATGAAGGAGTAGATGTCCTTTTCTCAATTCATCCACTAGAGAAAGTTTCATGGCTTCCTGGAATTTGATCAAGCCGTATGGTAGATTAGCGAAGATTAGCAAGTCTGCTTCACGGTCGAATCAGAGTTACATATGCATCTATTCAAGCGAGACGCAAGTCTTTCATCCTTTGATTTGCCAGATTAGAGGGTGTGTCGAAGCGTAGACAGATCAAAAGCTGTCTGATTAAACTCGACAGATTGTCTACTGATTTCGATGGAGCTTTCACAAGTACAGGACTTATCGAAACTTTCCCAATCTCCAAGATAAGAGAACGATCGGCCTTAATGGATCAAAACTAAACTGGTAACGACAATAGCTAGCATTGGAGGTGAACTATTCCAGTAAAATCGCAATCCTGTCAAAACGCAAACCAAGCTACTCATTCCACCCTGAAGCTACTTTTAGGTACATAATAGCCGGCGGCCTAGGTAGTATCTTCCGAGTAATAGTTCGCGGGATATTCAGTCATGCCGCCGAAAATCTCATCCTTCTCTCCCGCAGCGATCCTAGAACATACATCCACCGCACCAGATTTTCTTTCCGAACTCACCACGCTCGGCATAACCTCTCACTCCACCCTCCACTCCACCCTCGAGCACCTTCGTTTCCATTTGCCCCCCTTATAAGGCCATTTCCAAACCTCCATAATGCTCTCAGACTCTACCTTCCAATCCATGACGTATTCCCAATTGCACAATAGCACATCACCCAAAGTGCTCGGATCGTACAATACACTATTACCGGCCGATCTTCATATCTTTATCCTCCTCCAGTATCTCCGATACCGTCTAGCTACCCAGCCAACCCAACCATACCGCCAGAAACACCCACCAGTCTCTCGATTTTCTCGCGCAATACCGCACTTCACATGAACATAAAAACCCGTTTCCATCAGCCTAAACCTAAGCATCATAAACAAAAATGAATCTTTCTCTCTCTGAAGCACCCTACCCTCTCCTCTCAAACAAAAAGTCCCTTCTTCTACACCCAAGACGCTCTTTTCGCGCTTCACCTTTTCTAATATTTTAATCTCCATTCCCAATTCTGCGATCCGGAAATCATCATCGATGTGTATTCATGGAATCCAATTATTGTTTGTACTCGTATTGCGAGCGCCATCGGTGCAAGAAGTAGGGAATTTGCAGAGGGCGGGAAGTGTTTGGTTGACGTGGTTTCCATCGCTATTATGAGAGCTTCATCGATAGCTGATAGATAATTAGCTATCTTTACAAAGCTCAAGTGCTCACAAAATGGACATATTCCATAATCTCACGAGAACCACAACAAAGTAAGTAGCTCACGACCCACCCACATCGAACTATACACATACACTATACTGTAACAAATTGCAATTTTCAAATCTCTATCTGATATAATTCAATCTCGCGCAACAAGAAATATATATATACTCGAGTAGTTAACCACAAAAGAACCTCCCTTCCCCCCTCCAAATCCCAATTCCACCCACAAAAAAAGCCTAGACTCCCACTCAAGTCAAGTCAAGTTACTTCAACTCAACTCAAACGCTACCACTCCTAAACCCAACTAGATGTATGCAAACTCAAACTGAAGTTTCCCGTTCTGAATCCTCGCACACCCATACCCATACCTAATTAAGACCCGCTTACCCACTACCCGCCACCCAACTCCAGAACCTCTAACCAGACTTATACAAGGTAATCAAAGTAGGATATACATTGATATTCGCACTATACACGGCCTGAGTTTGACCATTCCTCGTAATCATATTTGTGACGCCGACCGTAGCCAAAGTGTAGATATTGACGTTCGAAATCGAACCCTCGAGACTGAGAATATTGTTTTGACAGTTTTCGGGACCGCCTCCGTTGGAGCAGGCTTCGTTGTGTTAGCATATTTCTTTAACATTTTAAAGAAGAAAATTGGAAGGTATATGATATGGTGAAGAAGAGGAAACATACTAGTAGAGTAGTTGTCGAAGAATGAGTAGAGACCTGCTCCGTAAATCAGAATGTTGTTAGAATTGATGATCCTCAAACCCCAAGCTGAAGCGCAATTTCCAGAGTAGCCAGCACATGAAGAGGCGAAGTTAGGATCGTTTAGGGATGTCACAACGCTGAAGGGTGCCGGGGCAATTGGATTTGGTTGATAGTATCTAAGCATCATTAGCCAAGTCTTGAGGGAAGTCTCAGTGAAGGACCTTACGGTGTCTCTGTCTGTACGAAACCCACAAATATGTTCTTTGTGTTTGCGAGTTGGTATTGATACAAAGTGAAATGCTCAACTCCTGTGCCGACACTGCGAAATATTAAATTAATCCCGTGGTATATGAAGTAAGATAAACTTACAGCCAGAAAGTTCCCGCGGTACTCTCAATATACAGACCCCTTCCGGCGTAGACATCAATTTGCCTTAAACCTTGATCATCGATATCATGATCAGCTACCCAAATCCAATTGTTCTCCATGTACAAGCCGCTGGCACCTGCTGTGATATGCATGCCCATGTATGCACCAATACAGTTCGTGTTGATGGCTGTACTTCCTGCATTTTTCTCGCACTGAGCAACTTGTAGATTTGAGCCCGTGAAACCGCCCACTCGTGTATGTACGTCCCACATTCCAGATGGTGTTGAACCAGAATTAGCGAGGTTCCATTGGATCAATGTAGCACCAGCTTGTGTACCTTGAGTTGAAACGATACAATCACTCCATTCGACATGTCCCGTTTGACCAGCGGTTCCAACTCGTACGACGGCTTGGGGGCTGTTCATATTATTGAAGTAACTGCCACTCGACATTATGGTTGAATACGATTCGCCCACAATTCTTGATCCAGGAGGAATGGTTATCGTACTTGTTACTTTGTAAGTGCCCGCATCTAGGAAAAATATGTTCCCAGCCGCAGCTGCATTATTGATTCCACGTTGCAGAGCAACGGTGTCGTCGGTTTGACCATCTCCGACCGCACCGTTGGTTCTCGCACTGGTAAATGAAGAGACCGAAAGGGTGTTGTACTGAGGTTTCGACTGAGTGTAATATTTGTTTCCATTGAGTAAGGATGCCGGCCGACTATTTGGCGTGATTGAGCCTTGGAAATCAGATGGTCCGGTAGGGGTATATTTGCGACCCTGGCCCCACCCCGCGATGGTCGTGCTTCCGCTTGTACCAGATAAGATGGTCGAACCACCACTCAAAGTGACAGCTGTGGGTACATTACTGAGTACAACATTTTCAAGTATGAGACTACCAGCTGTGTCTGGTGTTGATGTGGATGTGTAAGCAGAAATAATCCCGATCGGAGTGTTAGTGATTGAACTGTCGATCACGATCACGGATCCCACGTTTTGAGCGGTAGAGCCTCCTGCCGATATGTCGATTCCTTTCTGACAGTTATTTATGCTGATGCCCTGGAACAACCATCCCCAATCCCAGAACATGCTGATTGCTGTTACACAGTTGTTAAATACCAAATTTCGCATGGTAAATTGTTGGTTTCCTATAGCAGCACCAACAAGACCACCATTGAACGTAACATCAACCAAAAGTCCCGCAGAACCTTTTCCTATTATTAGCATGGAACTAACGAATAATCTTGGTTTTACTTACCACTTTCACAAAATAAACCAGTATGTTGAGTCCCTGCTGCGGAACTCATTTGAAATACAACATTTTGTAGACTTGTCGCTTGGGAGGTGGGCCAATGAAGACCTGTTGCTGTTGTTCCTGCAGGAATGCTAGTCATATCAAAGATCAAGTTGCGAATTTGTCGCAAGAAAACGTTGGTGGAGCCCCAGTTTAGAACTGGAGAGTAATATGGATTTGCATCTATTAAACCGAAGCCTGAAAAGTTGGGCGTAGCTTTGAGAGTCGGTAAACTGTTTGGATTGCCAATAATTTGGGTATAGTAGTAGTCTATTATTGACGATGATATCAAGTAAGTTCCAGAAGGAAAATAGACAACTGCAGGAGTGGTTGTGGTCGAAGAACACCCTTGGCCACATCTCCCACCGGAACTAATAGCAGCATTGATAGCGGCAGTATCATCGGTGACACCATCACCTATATAACGTCAGCAGCGAACATCTACATATGTATATACACATATATCGACTTGCCTTTTGCGCCGAAATCTTTGACATTGCGATATACTGAATATCCCGAAGGGCCCCATGCGGATTTGCCTTGATGTGAAATCTGTTCGTACCAATAGGGGGTCGCACGAGGAATGATTTTGGCCATATCATCATTTGCTGGGATGACAGCAACGCTTGAGTGGTTCCCTTTGTTGTGCACATAGGGTGCAAATTTGTTCAAAACCTTCGTGACTACCTTATCGACCTGGGGTATCTTGAACTGAATACATGATGATTGAAGCACAAGGGAAAGCAAAACCACGCTTCTAATCACATTAACCATGATGAATGATGGCTTGTAATGTAAACAAATTAACACAGAGTAAAAAAGGTGTGGAGGGTGTTTAACAGGAAATCGTCGATCATTATGTACTGAATCTTCCCTGAACCTACCTACGTGCACCATTTAGGTAGTCTATCCGAAAGGAGAAAACAAAACCGCCGTACATTTTAGAATCCGGTTTAGTTAGAGTATGATGCAGACAGTTCCGTCTATCTTCCGGCCATTCCTGACAGGATACCATCACGAGCTTCCATGCAAAACTACCTGTGCGACAGAGGCGTCCTGTACCTTTTCAAACCCCATAAGTGAGTGACATGTGAGGGCTTCCAGCCTCATGATCATTGAATATGAGATGGAGTTGATATTACCTTGTGCTTGACGCGGACCATTAAACTCTGTGAACCGGAATAATTCAACAAGCGGGCCCAGTGATGTGTAGCCTGGATAAAATGCTCCGAATCACTGCCGAAAAATGGCCTTGTGAGCAGCAAGTTCCAGCCAAGAAGAAAATCAATCTCAAACAAAAGAATTTAAATCCACCATGACAACATAAATTAAAATGACTTTGACGGTAAAACCCACGAGTGAGTCCATACAAAGACGGAAGGAAATTTAAGTCTTACCACGTGTAAGATAATTTCGAGGATAATCTTACATGGAAATTTTCATGAATTTGGTAACGGCCGTTCTCCGGTCCGACCCATGGTCATACAAATTACCACACGGGCCTGGGTAAACTTGTAGTTTGCATGTAGTTCTGCATATTCTCCATATTCTGTACTGCGGGGTAAGAATCTGGGGATTGGTGGCTTGTGGGGAAGCTCGTGATCACCGAAAATGACATTTATGCCGTAATCGGGTTGCAATCATGGTATCAGTATGGATGCCGCTGTAATGTCTGACAAGATTCGTGAGATGTCGCCAATCTTCTCGGAATTGCTCTAGAAGCCATAGAAGCCATAGAAGCCATAGAAGCCAAAGAACCACCAGGATACCAAGTTTATGATATTTGCCGAATCGGGACATCATTGGCCCCCAGTTCTCAACGCGAGAAAATTTGGTAGAAGCCGAGAATTTGACCAGATCACATTTCACCACGCGCATTTTAGTGGCAGGGAAACCTTTTTTGATGGTTTGGCCTCGGTTCCAATCAACATCAAAAGCTGCCAGTCGATTGATGGGTATATCGGAATTTCCTGAGCCGAAGTGTCTGGGATTTTCTGCTGAGGATTATATGCATATGTAGCGTCGCAGGAGGCTCTGAGACACAATTTGATTTGGGCCGAGGCCATGCTCAAGGGGAAGATATAAGCCCAAATAAAAATCTTTCCAAGTAGAGGGACGTAGATGTTATCAATGTAGCAACCCGACCCGAAAATCATTTCCACAGTGGTAATTTTCGTTATTTGTTGCTTGGTACTTGGATCGATCTTCCAAATTAACATCCTTGAAGAAGCGCCATGGTTTGCTCAAAAAGTGATGTAATAGGTTGGTTACACGGTCCAGGGTGAAGGGAAGGTTGCATCGAGATGTGATAAGCGTCCCATGTCGACGGGTAGATCGACACTGGTCCCCAGAGAAACATAGCGAGCTAGTGATGCAACTTCGATTCAGCCGTAACTGACCGAGACGAGATGAAGCTCATCTTAGCCCCCAGGTCCAAGATATCATTATGTCGCCAATTGTTGGAATTGTGCAGGAAGCTGGGCGTATCTATTACGATCCAGAGCAACAGATTAAGTGGCGAAGTGTCCAGCTCTGTTTCCTCTCCCAATATGCCCAAATGTATCTCTTAGATCATACAAATTGCTTACATGGGACAGTATTGGAGATTACCCCTGTCCAGGCACCAACGACCAAAATGATAGTTGATGTGGCATGTCAGACGTGACGTTGGCTTCAGCTAAACTAGCCTTTGTCGCAAGCTATCGAGTTCAACAATAATAGTGACGGGAGTTCGGCCATTCGAATCCTTGATCTTGTAATAAAAGAGCCGAAGTAGCGAAGCTGTCAAAATAAGGCCAGGAATAGTGTGCCAGTCTGAATATGGATTTTGAGGTGCTCCGTATGGTGTCCGAGAGGTTATACCTAACGTCAATGCTAATGTCTATCCAGCTCAATCGCCGGAGGTTACCCTCCTATCGGCCATATAATGACCCAACGACGGCTGTAGGATTCTGAGGCAAAGGAAACCGGAGCAAGTTGTTCTGATGGTAGCGTCCTCATCTACATATCGATTCGTTCGATATTTCTTGGGAGGTCTTGCTGCGCCTTCAAGCCCCCCAAGTCGCCCGTTTTTCGTATTGGCGCAACAGCGGATCTTCTATAATGCCACCTTTGACAGATTTGTTGTGAAATAATTGTCAAGCAGAGTTGCTCGAGCAAACAGTCGCGGCGCAAACATGTATGCTATGATAGGTGCAGCAGTCGGCACGAAATCCGCTACACATTCAATGACTCCAGGGATTCAGTACGTTTAGTTTTTTTGGGATTCCGGGTATCTATGCTCGACAAATTGTGATAGATGATTTTCGTATGGAGTTGTAGTTGTGTTTGTCGATATTTGTTGGGAATCTCAAATGCGGGGAAATTCATCTACCACTTGTTTTGGAAGTGACGCACGGACCACAAACCCTGTTTCCCAATTGAGCAATCATACCTACATTTGAATCTAAAGAGAGTCTAGTTTGATTTGCATATTGGAGTTGGCCTGGGTATCCGAACTGCTTTGAAAATATACACTGATCTTAGGATATATATGGGACAGGATTGAGACTTTGAATATATCCCAATATATAGATCAGTTATAAGTTTAAGTTGGGTTGGACATTCGCATTAGATCTTCGAATGCATCTATCTACGAGTCAAAACTGGTATTCAAACTCAGTTGAACTTTGGAAGGTGGCTTGTTACTTAGATGCATGAAATTGTTCGAGGCTCAAGTAAATCTGAACCAACTCCCGGTGACGTTCCAATTCAACTTTCCATCAATAAACATTCACCGAATAAATATACAGACTGCATGTTCATAGCAAGTCAATATAGTCGGAGAAAATACTACGATTTGATCAACTCTGTAATGAAATTCAGCACACAATCTCACCAATTCCCATATTAAGTTCCTTCCTACTAGACATAAACAGGCGCTCATTAAATACAGCCAAGTTTCGCTCGAAACGCTTCAATTCTCACTCCTCAGAACTTCTCTTTAAAAGCCCTCCCATCTTTCGTCATAACATTCGTAATAATAACATTCATCATCCCCTTTTGAGAAGCCTCCTCATCTGTATCTTGCTCCATATCATTTCTCGTATTCATGAACCCAAAATCTAATCCATTCATCGACGCTCTTACTGACCTCGGTACAGCGACCGCATCATGTATGTCCTCAAATATAATATCAATTCCCGACACTAGTCCAATTTGTGATTCTTCATAAGTTCCCAACGACCAGCCGACTCTTGTGAATTTTTTCTGCACAGCGGCACTCATGCCTACGAAGCGCAATTCTACGGCATCACCACTGTAGGCCACAATTTCATCTTTCAGCTCTTGGAGGTAGGTGAGACCGGTGGTGTCAATAAATGAGACTCGTGTGAAGTTGAATACGAGGACTTCAAGCTTTGGAAGAAATCTAGTTGGTGTATTGATGTTGCTCCTGCGACGGAGTGCGGCGGTTCGTCGAAGGCGATAGTCGCTCCATCCTTTGCGGTCTGTTGGTCCGTACTGGGTCGGCTCATGGGTCGTCCAGACAACTTCTAAGATATCTTTTTTTATTCGCTCGGCATTTAGGTAAATGAGAGACGTTTCTATTGTGATAACTTGAGTTCCTTGAGGTACCAGGCCGCTAGGGAGTGGTATCCTCATTTTATCCACATCGGTGAAGCTGTATCTATTCTCAATATCAAGGGGGTTTGATGCAGTAACGGAGGAAAATAACGTCCGTAAGAGAGTATAGAAGATCATATAAACCACGCCAAGCCCAAGAGCAATCTCCAAGCTTGTAACCAGTGCAATATTCATCACGATAAAAAAACCGATAAAGTCGGCGAATGATCCTTTCCAGTATGTGAGAACAATACTGTTCGGAGGTAAAATCTCCCCTACAGAGACTAGGATAACGGCACTGGTTACGGCAGTCGGTATCCATTTGAAGGTTTCAGTTAATTCGTTGATGGCAAGAAAAACAATTCCGGCTGAGAATAGCCCACTCAGGGGCGATCTTACACCAGTCGCGGAATTTAATGCTGAAAGAGAAAGCGACCCCGATACTGGCATTCCACCAAAAACGCCATTCACAATGTTTGCGGTGCCAAGGAATGCAAGCTCTTGAGATTCATCAATTTCATAGTTGTGTTGACGAGCGAAAGATTTCGCGAAGATCAAGTGCTCGGCTGCGGCGGCTATGAACACCTAGGCAAGAAAGTAAGTTAGCTTCGTGTCTAGACGCGTTCAAAACTTATCTTAACTTACGGGAAATGCCTTCGTAGCAACGAGCAGAACAATCTTGGTGGGAGATTGGGGAGATTGGATCCCTCGAGGAACCGTTCCAGCGATTGGAAATTGTGGAATAATGAGCTCTCTATTGATAACAAAGGACACCCCGGTAAAAACAGCAATCACAAAAGCGTTCCGAAGATTCGATAGGACTTTGATAATGTTACTCTTGTGACCCCACTTCTTACCCATAAGCTTTAACGAAACGATAATTACCATTGAGGTCACACCCACAGCTAGAGATAGTGGTTGAGTAGTCCCAATGTTCCTGAGAATTTCCATCACTTGTCGTGAGAAGATCTGACCCACGCCTGATTCTCCAAGTATCAGGGGAATCTGGCCTTGAACGATGATTAACGCCGCTGACATTTGAAATCCAACTAGCATAGGGACCGTTACAAAATTTAAGACCCATCCGAGGTTCAGAAGTCCAAAGAGTAGAGACAAAGCTCCTATCGAGAACGAGAGAGAGGACGCGATGAGAGCTGGTGGTATCGGAAGATCTTGAGCAGTAATAGATAACACAGCCGCGTTAGTAAGTAAACTTATAGATGTCGTAGGCCCCGTGGCAATATCTATAATTCTCAGCATCAGCCAGTTTTGGTTTCATGTGAACGATGTTACCTTTCGAAGTGCCCATGAAGAAGTATATAGCTGATGGCAGCCAGCTAGCTAATAGGCCTTGTTGTAATGGTACGCCAGCAATGGCTGCAGAGGCTAGGGCTTGTGGGACCAAAACTAACGCGACCGTAACTCCAGCGATTATATCGTCCATCAACCACCTCGGGTCGTAATTCGGGAGCCAACGTACAAAAGGAATCTTCTGAACCAAATATCTCGCTGTCGATGAAGGTAATGCTTTTATTCCACGAACAAACCCCCTTCTCCCTCGAGTTAAGTTTTCATCATTCCTAATTCCCTCTTTAATTTCTCGAATTCTTTTGGCTATTTTCCCCATGGTAAACAGTTACTGCCGGCAGTAATTACGGAAAGAAAGTTGATTTTAGCTGCAACAAGTAAACCGTGAAAAGGCTGGCCTCGGAACTGTTAAAACCAATCTCAACATAATGATGGGAGTAGACGGAGTTTTGTGAGTGCTGCTTAGTATTTTGCTTTTTGCAGAGTGTAGCAAAATATACGAATTGTTTTGTTTTCGTCCCATGAAATTGATCGAATTTTGACTTTCGTGGCGAAAACAATGGCTGGGTCAGCCTACTGTATCTGGATAGAGTCTAATGTAGATAAGTATATGAGAAGAAAAAGCCGAACGAAAATAATGATTGGTCGCCTTATCAACAGTGATAGAGTAGAAATCTCTGCCAAGGCGAATCAGAGTTTCAAAATCATCACATAGACAATTTCAAGCGTGACAAAAGGCCTGAGCGTGGCAACTCTTCCCCTTGGGCACCAGATTTATTTTTGAAATTCCAGCTCCTCAGCACATTGGATTCCTGAGTGCGACCAGGAAGAGAACGACTGTTCTCCACACCCAGATTAAAACTTCTACTCGAGTACTTGAACTAAGGTAGTGATTACAGCAGCAGTGCGTAGTCTCCCAACACTCAACGCAGCTTAAATGCGCGGGTACTGTCTTTAGATCTCGAACAAGACTTGGTGACAGATATGAGCCGTGAATCACGGCGATACAAATTCAATGTTCAACCCGGAGCAAGAGATGATCTAAAAATAATAATGCCAAACATCGAAACACGCGTAAACCTGGTAATTTTTTCCATGGTGGACTTGCGCACGGATTCTGAGCTGGTTTGACGATGTTTCATGATTTTCAACATGCCAATTGAAGTAGTACTAACGAAAAATGAAGAGATTTGACCAAAGCCCTACAGCATCCGTTAGGTCACGGACATGAAGAAGTTTGGCTCGAGAAGATCATCGGATCTGACGCTGGTTTGCAGTGTATGTCCTTAGAAGTCTTCTCGGTTTGGCGGATTTCATTTTTTGAACCGCCACTGTCCAACATATGTATCTCTTTGTCTCTGCTACCACTCACTGCATCTGGGTCACGACAAACCCCATGCTCTCGTACTCGCAGTCTAGCATTACTAGTACATGGCTTCATGGACTATAGTGTTTGCAATTGCTTCAAGAATGCTGTATGTCAAAACGCACTCAATTTTGAGATTCTGTTTGTATTGGCAGAGGATCCGTAGTCTCACTTGGACATAAAGTCTAGTTGCAGCGCGGGAAGTCGACAATATTCCCCGAACAATAACGGTGCCATCTCTGCTACAATATGTAGCTAAAAGTAGTAAATATCATTTTACGTCCCACAATTGAATGGAGACGCGATGAGTTCGATCTGTACACCAAGGTCATGAGGGAAGTACAATTTTTGGTAGCTGTTACTCCAATATCATCTGTCTGTCTCGAAAAGCCAAGTCCTTTGGCGTCGTGTAAAATCAGATTTTGATCTTGAAATGTAATCGAAATGAAAAAAATTGGGTATCCATCGTAGATGGGTAGAGTATTAAATAACCCCTGTGCGGTAGCTCCAAATTGTCGCGTTGTAGCGGCTCTTTGTCTTCAAGTTTCCTAGTAGTATCGGTGAGAATTCAGGATAAAATACCAAGATATTTGTATTTTTGTTGACATGGAAAATCCGATGAGGTTTGAATTTGGATTTCATTATTCCTGATAAACGAAAGAAGATTTAAACCCCGCCATCGGCTATAATCCTAATAAATTCCTCCATCCACCAAAAATGCCAGATCCATCAATAACATCGCTGACCACCCTCGATGCACTTTTCAACAATCCCGTCTTCGCCGGAGGCATCGGCCTTGCAGGTCTCGGGGCTTCTGCCGCTATCGGGCGACGTTTCATGATACTGGGAGCTTCTACCATTAAACGACGTCTTCTGGTAAATCTCGAGATTAGTAAAGAGGATCCATCGTACCAATGGATCTTAGCATGGCTATGTCTCCCTCGTCCAGCTGGAGGTTTTATCGCATCCAAGATTACCCGTGTTCATGATTATTCTATGCGAACGACGGGCGAACAGTCTGAAGGCGGTCCATCATCTGCGACATTTCTTGCGCAACCAGGATATGGCAGACATGTCATCCAGCATAAAAACGCATTCATTTTAGTTCAGCGGGAGAAGCAGAGCAGTCATAATATGAATACTGGTGTGCCGCACGAGACGATTACCTTTCGAACTTTATATGCTCATCGACATATATTCGCGGATATTTTCGCCGAAGCACATCAATTGGCTGCTACAACTCGCGAAGGGAAGACAGTCATTTACAAAAGCTCAGGAATGGAATGGCGACAATTTGGAGATGCGCGACGGAAACGCCCGCTCAATTCTGTAATATTGGACGAAGGGGTTAAGCAGCGAATCCTGGATGATGTGAGAGATTTTTTGGGTCGACAACAATGGTATGTGGATCGAGGAATACCTTACCGCAGAGGTTATCTCCTATATGGACCACCTGGGAGTGGCAAAACTTCTTTCATACAAGCCTTGGCTGGGGAGTTAAATTTTGGGGTTGCGATGATCAATTTGAGCGAGCGGGGAATGACTGACGACAAGTTGGCACATTTTCTCACCAAGTTACCTCCACGAACACTCGTACTGCTGGAAGACGCAGATGCTGCGTTTGTGAATAGAAAACAGGTGGATTCCGAAGGATATTCCGGCGCGACGGTTACATTCTCGGGATTGTTAAATGCGATGGACGGAGTGGCAGCCGGCGAGGAAAGACTTGCCTTCTTAACTACAAATCATATTGATCGACTTGACGCCGCTTTGATACGGCCTGGACGAGTCGATATGATAGAGAGAATTGGCGAAGCTACGAGATACCAAGCCGCAGAAATGTGGGATAGGTTTTATGGCGATATTGATAAGGATGGAAGTGGAAAGACGCGATTTTTAGCAAATTTAGAAAGCTTCGGGCTCGTTGCAAACGAAGAAGGTAAAACGAGTGAGCCAGAGCTTCATACGAGTATGGCTGCTATTCAGGGACTTTTCGTGTTCAACAAAGACAGCATGGACGGAGCCATTGATATGGTCGAGGGGTTGATACCGAGGATTTACGAGCCTCACACCCTTAATAAAGGGATCAAGGTAACAGCCTGATTTTCGATGGTACTTGTAAGCTGGCATGGCATCATTGATGGACCTATATGTAACAATATCGGCGCAGACGACATATACAGTTGCAAATACATGCATCAGAGGTTTGTTTTATTGCCATGATATCCTACTATCCTACTATCCTACAAATAATTCCGAACCTCTCCCCCCGTGCTCGAAACACAATCAGTACATCCGTCCCAAACTACCGAGCACCTGCACTGGGTCCATCATCCGTAGGTAATCCCTCTTCATCTCCCGGCTCGCTCCCGATAAGCCTCTGCGGACTTAGCAAAACCCCTCGTCTTCTCATCAATTAAATTACTCTCATCGATAGCTTCCTTCTCATCGCGCTCTGTGTACACGTGAAATAAAATCGTTATTTGTGGGTTTTTCCTTGACGGATACCGGTATCTGAGGTGTTTGACATGGTGATTGATGTGGTAAGGTTGTGGCAGGCTGGTCTGTTTGGAAAGACTTGAGTATGGGTACGGTTGTTTATCAAATGAAATGTTCAGTTGAGGGGGGAAGTTGTATTTGTAGTTAGTTATCTTGAGTATGGTATGGAAGATGTAGTCGTACGTCAGGCAGGTCGACCTGGCAGCTAGATGGTGGTGAGGTCATCTTTTCTCTAATAAACACCCCTCTTGAACTGCAAGAGGGACTTTCCAAGAAAACTCTAGTTATCTCAGGGTCATCGAAGCTATTTATCAATAGCAACATCTAATTCCCAATCTTGCCGCATCATACTCAAGTAGAATACTCTAGCAACAAGCCTACATAAGCAAGTTCTCAGCCCCCCCAGATCCAGCCTGATCTAGCTCTCCCGGTAGTTTGATAAATCAGGTACGGTACGAAGATCAAACGGGCGCTTTTTATCCCCATATGGATGATGCTTCCTGCTATCAGAGCTCGTGTTCGTATTCAGGGTCTTGCAATTTGGAAATGTGAGAACTGGACAATGAGATTGCCCCGGAAGATCTCGAGGTATATCCGGTATGAATCACACTTGAGATTTGGCAGATATCATATCTGTGAGCGAAACGAGGATTCTATCCCGCGGGACCTTCACCTCGTTTAATTTTACACCAAGCATGAGCTAGCATATTGGCCTTGGACTTCTCGTTTCCTGGTGTAGCAGCGGGATTATTATAATAGTCTGAGAAAATCTGACATTGCTTTTCAGTTAATTGGTATGTGAATACTGGTGGTAGAGCTCATATTTCCAGCTTGGAAGGTTCAGGTCATTATAAGCAATGACACTCGAGTTCCTCCATGAGACAATGCTCTGCTAGTAGATTATGCTCGGTACTTTGTGTTATGTTAGATAGTTGCTATAAGATCATTTTTAGGGTCATATCATCGAGATCTCATGTAGATAAATCCAATAGCCATGGAAAATGGATTGGTTCTTCGATATTGACCCCTAATCATTGAGAACGGGGAATGAGGGCAGGAGGGTAAAAGGGTAGGAGGCAAGCCAAATATGGAATCTAGACCAATGTGATAGCTAGCCAGAGAAAGGATAAATGTTTAATAGTTAATCCATTTGGTAGAAAATCGAAGTTTATGTTTCCCCAATACGAACTTTTGAGGTTGTCGTCAAAGTCACATCTATGAATCTATTAATGCATTACGTAAGTATTTAGAGAGGCTTGGCGCAGTGCAACATCAATATTATTGGTCATGGCGGGGTAATCCATTGCTCATCAGCCTCGCTCTACTTGCACTCCCATTCACAACTTCATAGCCGTCGCGATGTTCACCGGTCTTGTTGAGATTAAAGGAGGTCAGTCTTCAATGCACACCTCTCTATAGCACCTGACTGACATCCCTCAGTTGTCTCCGACATCAAACTCGACAGTCAATATGGTGCCACCCTCACCATCAGCAACGCCTCCTCCATCCTTGGAGACTGCGGACTCGGCGACAGCATCGCCGTAAACGGTATCTGTCTCACAGTTACTAGCTTTACAAGCGATAGCTTCACCGTAGGCTGCGCTCCCGAAACCCTTCGTCGCACAAATGTCGGTTCTCTAGTCGTCAATTCCGAGGTCAATCTCGAACGCGCCGTCTCCGCAAATACACGTATGGGAGGACATTTCGTACAAGGACATGTGGATACCATTGCGGAGTTGATCAAGAGGGAAGAGGATGGAGAGGCCTTGACATTGAGATTGAAGCCTAGGGATAAACAAGTGATGAGATATATTGTGGAGAAGGGATATGTCACGCTTGATGGAGCGAGCTTGACGATTACCAAGGTTGATGAGGAGTGGTTTGAGATTATGTTGATCGCATATACGCAAAGCAAGATCGTGACGGCCCTAAAGAATGAAGGGGAGTATATCAATGTTGAGGTGGATCAAATTGGTAAATACGTCGAGAAAGCTGTAGAGGGATATTTTGCTCAAGGAACTGGTGGAGATATGGCCATTTTGGAGAAAATGGTAGAACGTATTGTTGAGGCAAAATTGGCAAAGTTATCTGGGAACTAAAACATTCTTTTTGCGCCTTAGGATACTTAATTTAACCAAGTGGCTATACCCACTTCTGCTTTCTGGAGAAAATAGTTAATATCTAAGACGCTTTCCTCATCATCGTCGAGGGTTTTAAGTACTGTGGACTACATTCCAGATCACATAGTTCTCAAATTTCGGAAGTCTCCGAATCATTGAGTATGGTTTGATAGATCAAATGGAGTCAACCTTCCGAATGAGTTCGATGTTCGAAAGGCTGGGGACTCTCTAGTTTAGTTTGGTGGTCCTGATACGTTCAACCTTTCAATTATCCGGTGTATGAAATTGAAATAGTCTCAATACCTCAAATCGTCTCAATATCTCAGATGAATCCATATTTGCACTCATTTTACATTTCAAACAGAGTATGTTTCCACTTAATTCAATGTATCAATGGCTCAATGTATAAGATGGAATCGACATATGAATGCGTAATGATAAAATGAATTCATTATCTCAGATAATTTCTGAGCAAGACAACACCCTGGGCACCCCTGCAACTGCAACCCCTTATTCAAACGACTCTCTAGCTTAACTACCTTATCAGAACTATTCTCACCACCATCTTGTCTCTTGATCTTCTTGGTTCCTAAAATTCCTTGTGCATGATTTCCAACTGAATGAGCCTACTGATAGTCTTATGTCAAACCATCACACCCTGCTCACCAATAGCTTTAGGCCACATCAATTTCCACTCCGCATACTCATCCATTACTACCGTGTTCTTTCGCAAACTTGTGCTCGTCTTTGTATTCATGTTCTCGACTTCAATAGCATAATCGAAGAACAGTCTTTCCGTCCTAGTATCAACTATACCGACGTCCTTGGCGGATTTTTTGATTTGGCGTGCAAGTTCCGCATAAATTGCCTCGTCTGCATCTTCATGACGGGACAAATCAAAGTTATCGATGCATTTGAGTAGACGAACCCCATGGGCCTGCCCAAGTCTCAAATCTTTCGACAAATTTTGCCTTGTATCCCAATCCAACAACCTGTATCCATCTGGCTTTAACAATTCCTGCCAAAGCTTGATAACCTTCTCTAGCTCAGCTAGATGATTGAAAGGTCCAAATATTGACAATACGATCAAAACCACGCGCAATCTTGTGAGCAGTTGGTCGATAGATCGCTCATGCAAAATTTCCTCTGATAAATTCCGAACAGGGAGTTGCGCCCATAATTACTTAGCTGAGATTTAACATCTTAGGGAAGAAAAGAAGGCGTTAATATCAGCAGCCCTTTCCTCAAGGAAGATTCATTTATGCGTTGAGTTGCGTCAAAACTTTCCTCCCGAGAGACATAAATAGCCAACAACAATCCGAAATCTCATTAAATTATATACAGGCAAGCGCCCAGCAATCCTCTACCTTCTGCGCAGACCAATGTCAATTTCCACTCCACCGGCTTATCATGCAGCCTGCCATCGCACACTGAACGATTTTCCAAATCCCTCCAACACTACTCCTGGCACAGGATTACTAACCAAAGTATTCCAAACATCGACATCAACCCCTTGACTCGGCCAGTTCTGAATAGGCCAATTTGCCCATCCCATCATATATAACGGTATACCTGCTATTGTCGAATTTGGCTAGTTCCCCATCGCGTTAGCTTTCATTTCTCAACCTCTTTCACAAAAACCACAGTCTTGCGAAAATATCAACATACCGTGCTCCACTTCCCCTGACTCTTAATCCCACCACTCGAACAAGTAACTCTACCTCCCTCAACCAATCCACACGCACCCTCTTCAGTACCAAATGCATACATCCACATGCCGATACTTTGGTTATACACAGTACGATTACCATTGAAGAGACCGCAGGCAGAGGTATCAAGTGTCCATGTAAAGCTTGAGGTAATACAGCCCGTGATGGGGCCGGCGCCCGGAAAATAGGGAGTCGAGGCGTTGAGGACCTGGAGATGTCCTTGGGAGGTGTAGTCGCTGGATAGTATTGTTGTGGTTAGTGGGAGAGGAGTTGGAGATGCGAAGAGAGGGGCAATGATGATGGAGAGGGTGGTGAGGTGTTTGAGCATTTTGGTTGTTTTTTGTGAAAGATTTGATTGCTTGGAAGGAAATCGATGCTCAGGGACTAGGAATCTATGCAGTGTTTTGGTATGCGTGAATCTGGACGTCTCCATTCAAATGCATCAGCGCGGATGTTATAACATCTTAAAATCTCTCCTCCATCGCCCCGTCCCAGTCCTGGTGACCACAAATTACCATCACTCATATTTTCCGCTCCCAGTCCACCGGATCCCTCATATCTCAGGTTACTGAAATCATACCTCTCTATCTCCTACTCGCCACGATATCTAATATTATCTTGGCAGTCTTCACATAAATTGCGAAATCCGGGGGATTGACCCAAGGATAAGACTCACAATCTCGACGATAGGCCGTAAGCATTCGGCCTGTCAATTAATTCGGAACGAATGATTTGTGCGACCGAGTCATCTGTCGGATAAAGGGGCAACGAGTCGGTTAAACACTGGTGGCGTGCCTTGTGATCGCTGAGGTTGTGCAGGTATCCGGGGTGCGTTTTCCGGGGTAATAGTTCCGTGAATTATCAATATATCATGCATGCAAAGAGTGTCATTTAGAGAGTTTTGCCTTGGCATGGAATAACACAGTTGTTGGTTGTCGTCGATTAATTGTTCACGCATACGGCCCGAATTTGCACGACGTTCACTAAGGGTACGCACCTATTTGACCGTGGAAAACTATTGTTTGTCTATCTATGGTGGCACGAGAAATGCTTATGCAATTGACAAAAAGACAATTCTAATGTCATATGTGGCAGTCAAGAAACTTTGCTCTTCCGTGGAATAAGTTCCGTTAAATGCTGCTGGTGTAACCAGACCACTGGCTGCAGCTGTTAGGAATATGTTTTGATCCACTGCAAAGCGAGCTCCATCCTCCGGCATTATCCCACTTGCCAAGAAATTTGAGATAATCTTGGCCATTCCAAGAGATGTGTCCGCTTCCTCCACGATATGCAAGGATGGATGAAGTGGGAAGCAATTTCCGCAGTGCCTGTGTAGACTTGAGAGGTGTTGTTGGATCGTTCTCGGCTGAGATAATAAGGATTGGTGTTTTAGCTGTTGCGAGTATAATGTCCGTTTTGTCCATTGGACTAGCACCCAAGTTTGGGACAAGCGGTCGGGTGGCGGAAAGTTGCGACAGAATGTGATGGGGATGAGTCCAGCACTCAGTATTGGAGTATTCTCAGAGATCGAAATACTCTTTGTGAGCGAAATAACAGTATCCAAGATGCTTTCATTAGAAGCAGCATTGTCAACACATCCTAGAGGGTAAGTGGCGAAAGTACCGACGCCTGCTGCGGAACCATTTGTTGGTTCGGGGGCCGCTAATGATTCGAGAAGTGAAATAAGAGCAGTGGCATCACGAATTTCAAGTCCGGATAAAACTAAGGCAAGTGTCTTTCATGTAGTTGGAACTTGTCCAAGCTTATATTTAGACCTGAAGAGACAATAGGATTGGTAAGCAAATCCTCCATTATCTTATCAATTCTAGTAGCCACCGTACCCGTAGCAGCAGTAGTGACAGCGGCGAAAGAGCATCCTGTTGATCCAGCGGTAGAACAGAAGACAGCGAAGTCGTTTAACGAAGCACGAACGCTCAGTTCGTCGTTTGGAAGTTGACTAACATATTTAAGGGCATTTGCCTTAGCATCAAAAACACCATCCGCAATTACTCTTCCTACACGGCTTGGGTAGGTTTTGATAAACTCAGCAAGAAAAATCGTTCCGTATGAGAAACCCCAATCGTTGAGTTTCAACTATTGCCGCCATATCTCGAGCAACATATGCCGTAGTTGAAGTGTAAAGAGCGGGTAATTTCTGAGCTACGCAAGCATCTGCAAGAGCAGCGATAGAAGTGTCGAACGATCTGATGGCAGAATTAACAGCGCCATCGGCACTACTATTTGAGAATTGGCCAAGCCATAGATTTGGAGCCAATGGGAATGCGTTATTGAAGTCGTACTCGGCACTGGCATTCGCGAAGCATTCTAGGATAGGGGTTGAAGCCCCAGTTCCTCGTGAGTCCCATCCAATAATAGGTATCATATAAGCCACCACTTAGAACCGAAACAGCAGCTCCGGCACCAGATTGTACAAATCCAATGCCAGATGCACCGGGTCCACCGGGGTTAATTAGTAGAGATCCAAGTTTTTGCTTGCTGCAATAGTAGCATTGTGTCGAGCGAATGCAATGCTGGCTTTTGCCGTGGATGTCGTATCACCGTATTCGAGGGCAACTTCAAGTGTTGCACAATCTACTCCAGTACCACATGGTGTCCATGTTAACCCGTTTACAAGGACCGAGAAATTGACTGTGGCTACGAGGAATTTGCGAATAGAAGGCATGTTATTGATCAGAGTGAATTTATAAAGACAGCGGATCCTTAAAGAAAGTGGTTAGTTTTACGTTACCAATTCGTAGGTTCTATCATCAGGTAATCAAGCCTAATTTATACATTGTCGTATCCAAACTTTTTGCGAACCTTTTCTTTATTTCCCGTCGCTTGTGATGAACCGAAAATTGGTTTTGTTGTCTGGAGAAGTCTAGTTTTCGTGTTGCTGGGGTAGAAGGGGTAATTTAAAGCTCAATGTGGATAAATAACCTTTTCGGGAAACATTATTTTGACTGGGAAATAGGAATTACATTCAAGCATCACTATTTCAATATTTATGCTTGATTTAATTTCTCTTGTGCTTCTTGAATAGATTTCGAGTTGTCTGTTGAGTTTAAAGTTCGGCCTATTTTCTATATGCGTTATACACATCATTCTTATATAATAAGCTTTAATCAACTCGATAAAGGGCTTGAGTCAAAGGATAATTCTTATGAGATTATGTGATGGAGCCTAAAGCATCAAATGGTTAGACATCCTGCCTTCATTAGAACTCCACTTGACTTTTGAGGTTCGTTAGCTTGCTGGGGTGACTGTGAAAAGAGATGTATGAATAGCTTCAATAATATTAGCGTATATGGAATCAAGAAAAAAAACAAAAAGTCTGCTCAAAAGAAGTATTGGCGAAGCTGCAACACGTCATACCTCGCCAATTAAATAACAAAAGCTTCTCATGACAGGAGAAGAGTTCATTTTCATGGCAGTTGAACTATCATGGAAGGTAACGAGCTCTGCGGAATCGAATGTTACATTCCTCTAACCCCTCTTTCTCAGGAATTCGCTTGTCTACATTATTTTTACAGTCCATTAGTCAGTCATCACGAGCATTAGGAGAAAGTTGAAAAGGTCTCAGTAAACAGACTGATCCATTCTATCCAGATAATACTGATATCGAGATTTTCTCTAACCCGAATCCACTGCGCGAGGCACTCCTCCATTGTTACAGATATAATCCCCCATTTCAACTATTCATCCCACTACTTCTGTTTACCCATTGCTCTAAACCCAACGAAAGAAACCTCCAATAAGGTACCCTAACTTGAACCATCATGTGAAGCATTTGTCCATCAATACACATGTTTCTGAGAATTTATTAGTGATGTTTACATACAAATGTATGCTACAAAACTTACAGCTGTTCCGGACTAGTGAGAATGGTTACTTCTTGAATAGTGCTATTCGTTGATGTAGAGACGCAATAGTCACATCGGAAGATAGGCGCATCTTTAGAAGCATAGTTGGCTTCCCGATACCATAGTGGGCATATTCATTAGACCTATTCAGTGGGGATCTCGACTTGAGGGTTATTGGTATGCTTGTGGCAATAGTCACATCGTACGCGGGACGCATCTTTGGGAGCATAGTTTTCTCCCCTAATACCACGGTGGGAGCATTTCCAATAGCCCCATTCAGCGGGCATCTTGGCTTGAGGGTTTTAAATGGTAAAATATTTCGTTGCGTGGAAGTTCTTGAAGGAAGACGTGGAGTTTTAATGGCGATTTATTGAGGGTGTTGTGTTATGCTTGTGTGTTGTTTTATTGTTTGGAAGCTTAAAAATTGTTGTACTGTAAAAAGGAAAGGAAGGTGCCAGCAGGTAGAAAGTTCATTCTTATGTAAACCTTCAATGGATGGCTCTGCTGTAAAGTGCAATCATTGTTAGAGAACACTCATGGGGGTAGTTTCAAGTCGAATGAATAAACAGGAGATCTGCCTACAAGAGAACGAGATTTTGATGAATAATAGGACCATTCAGTCAACTATCTGCAGATTTTTTAGTGGTTCTGACTCCAAAATGATAGAACATCGTACACAGACGTTCTCCATCCATTTGAATCACGAAACTTTGTGATTGAGATCAAGGAAAGCCTTGTCATTTCCCGATGTCATTAAATGGATACAAACCCACAAATAACTCTGGTGTAGTCTACAGTTCACATACAAAGAAGTACTAAAAGTATATTCATGAGCTATAAACACGAATTACCAATCGTAAGAAAATTTCCATCTACCCCGTCTGTTTCTGAACTGCTAATCAATATTCTCCTTAACCATTCCTACATCACTATCGCTCTAGCCCATCAAAAGAATCCCGGTTTGTCACAATTGTTAATCCACCGTGCTCATTCTATTCTACAAAATCCCGTTATTTTCCATATCCTGAGGGTCTAAGGCTCATCTATCAAGGCACAAGAGAATATTGATTTTGATCTGTTTTCGAATCTGAGACTGGTATTCAACTACTAATAACTCGTTCCAGTAGGTAAACCGACTTGTAATAGGGCTTCTTCTCGTGAACCAATTTATATAGCAACAATCATTAAGCATTTACAAACATAGAGGCACCACATCTCAAATCCAAACGACATTTCCTGTGCTAGTTTTGTTGACTTACTCCATCTCATACATCTGCTTTACACTCTATACTTCGATGGTGGCGAGTCTATTTCCAGTGATATGTCGATTAAATCATCTCACTTCCGCCATGAGCCCATTTCCATACATTGAACCTATTCTCAGTCACTCTATGAGCCCGTTTCCCTACAGTGAAACCATTATCATCGGTTTGCCCATTCAAGCTCAATTAACCACTCAATATTAATTCACATCCCATATTCTGTCTCAAAATACCACAAATTGAATAGACTGAGGCAGAAAATGAGGTCGAGGCCATGTAAGTTAATCTGACCCCTACAACAGTTGGTTTATATACCTTTCTTCATCTATAGAGCTTAAAGCTCAGTGGCTTAAAAACAATGCTAATTATAAGCTCCACTTCTGTCGCAGTATCTCTTGGATGCTCAGTTGTTCCTCTTAATAAACGGATAGGCTACGAGCTCAGAAATCTGAAGTTCTATGTCACGGTAGGTTAGCTTGGATGTTAACTTGTTTTTTTTTCAGGTTCTACGCATTAAATGAATGATATGGGTTTATATTGAGGAAAAGATCTCGTAACCTGGACATTGTAATGATGATCTTGAAGTTCATATGTGCAGGCTTACCAAGAGGGAGGTTATCTTCGCCAATGCAAGACACCTCCACCTTGACCCTACAATTATGTCGGCGCACGCAATCCCCTAGCCTGTCACAATCAATTGTGAAAGTTCTCAATGGATGATTAAGATATAAAATCTCACTCTTTCAACTCCAGAGATTTGTTGTTTTCAATTCTTATCATTATAGAAGGTACGGAAACATATGCGTGTTACAATATGTCACGACATGTTACAGCATCTAACAGTTGCTCAATTCCAGAGCTACACTCCTCCAGTTACATAACTTGAGTCAGCAGAATGCATCATACATTGTAAATGACTTTATTGTTTCATTCTTACTTAGCTTATATCCTCTATCGAGCTCACAGTTTGAAAGTTCCTATTCACATAATAGAGCCACAGTAATGAGTCGGTTCAAGGTTACAATGAATTCAATATTCTTGCTTGATTCGACGACATCTACAGAGCAAACATTTTTCAAATTGTATTCAGAAAACGAAGTCCGATCATTATGACATGCACTCACAAAACTATTATCAAGCCAACATCACAAATTCATTCACATACCCTCTCCCATATCTCGCCGCCCGTCGCACCTTTTTCCCCTATTTAATCATCATCTCCATCAGTCCTGCTCCTTTTCCCTCTTCTTGCCATAACATACACCGATAAAATGTCACTATTACAAGCACAATCATCCCACAATACAACATAAAGAACCCAGAAACACCCATCCACATACAAAACCACACCTCATCATCTTTTTCAAACCAACTACTAAAAAGATGCCCGAAAGATCATTCCGAGTACAATGCTCCGCCTGCGGCACCACCATCAATATTTACTATAATACATCAGTACAATGTCCCGGTTGCGGATATGTGTATTTTGTGAGAGGCACTCAGTAGAAGCTGGAGCGGGACTTTGAATAGGGGTGAAGTTTGAGTAACTTTTCATTGGGGTCGTTTGAGTATTTTTTTTAAAAAATGTAAAAAGTGTGCAAAGATTACCATGATGATGGATCAGTATAACACCATTAATATATAACATATGATCCGTTGAACAATGAATGATTGATTGATTGCATTAAGCTATCTAGAAATAATTAGGAATTGGATTATGGTCTAGTAAGCCAAGGATACTTACCTACTGTTGAAGAGAAATTTGGGACTTGGGTTATGGTTAGACCAAAAAAAGTTGACATATTCTACGCATATGTTTTTAGATGATACTCGTAGAAGCGTCATAGTTCTGTTCCACATCATTTAGTTATAAATGCAGAGAACAACATGAAGATAAGAAGAGTTGAAAAGTACAGATTGGGAGAAAGCTTCTGTTCCCAAAACTTGATATCTTATCTAGGTAGTTTAGTTAGGTAGCCCTGTCGTTCTACCGAAGTAGTGTAGTGGCTGTTTATAGCACGTAAGTCGTTGGATGAGAACACCCAAACACCTTCATCAAAGAGTGAAAGATGCCGCTTGATATCCTATTGCACCAAATCATGAACGCGTCGTATCTAAGAATCATATCCCCAACCCCTCGTCTCGTTAAACTCTCCAACCAACGTTGTCGCGGCCGCCATAATTCCAATAGCCCCATCCGCGAACGCGTCACCGGTAGTACCCTGTAGAATACGTGCTGCTTGTTGACCCCTAGCGACCTCATCTTGTAATATCTGTATTCTATAATCTTCATCCAGACAAGCATTCTTTTTGATCATGCGTCCCGATATTGCGGATCTCAATGCGGCTTCCCAGTGTTTAACAAATTCAGCCTCGCTTTGCACGGTTGCTTTTCGTGTTGAGACACTTACTCCTGGGGGTCGGTCGGCGTATTGATATATGGCTTTCACAACCTCGTAGCGACGAGTAATAAGAAACAGGATTGGCCAGGATAATACCCATAAGAATGTGAGATAGAAGAACCAGCGAATCCAAGGGGTCATCCGCCATTCGTTTATAATGTGAGGCGAATACACAATGACTCGTTTGTGGGTAGTGGGAAAATGTACGTAAACCTGACCGCGATAATTCAAAGATATAACGATACGTCGTAAGAGATCCTCTAGTTGACTCTTATCGTGATTTATAATTTTGCGCTCGAACGTAAAAGACTTCATGCTAGATGGATCCGAGACGAATTTATGACACCACGCTTGTAATTCATCTCCAGTCGAGCCCAACTCTATATCGGCATTAGAAAGAGAGGGTTCGAAGGATTTGATTATTCCTCCACGATATCCTTTCTGATTATCCGGCAAGATCTCCAGTTTCCCACCAGTTCTTATTCCGGTCGTGAGTAAATGTGTTAAATTCAGACGAATGTGAAAATCGGTAATGGTCTCGGTCGAATCTTTCTTATGCCGACGCTCGGTCTCTTTGTGAGTCCCTGATAATTCCACATAATAGGATGGAGCATATTGAGCTTGTTCGAGTATCATGTGGCGGAGAGCATCGGGATCTGTAGAGTAATTTGGAAACCTCGTCCAGAAATTGGATGAACTATAGTCGTGCGAAGAGAAAGCAAGGTCGGGTGGAGGACTGTAATAAAATTAGTCTACTGAATAAAATACCTTCATTACATGATTACTTACATGTACCAACCGACGCCGTGGGCAGGTGGATTGTCAATCCGCGGAAAAAGAGGTGCCGATGAGGATGTTTCTTCGTAAGTCGGAAGATCTTCCTCGGCATATTCTTGGTCCATATGGCTAAGGAGACCAGCGGATGAAGAGGAAGAAGCAGCAGCATTGCTAGCTTCTGAATCATGTCCGTAAATATCAGCCTTATAGGGCTGAGACGTTTCTTTCCCCATGATGCAGATCTATCTATCTGGTGTTGTCAATATAGAGCTGCGGGCCCAAGTCGATTGATGGTTCCTGCGACAAATTTTGTTCCCTCGCTGGCAGTATTAATAATTTGGATTTAGAGATTGTAGGTCTTCGTGAAGTGATATTCTTATAAAGTGGTTGTGAGGTGTGATGTGTGAGGTGTGAGGTGTGAGGTGTGAGGTGTGAGGTGGGTAGTGAGGTTGCCTAGCCTTCCTGAATGAATGCACAGCCTCAAATTCTCCCCCCGTATAGAAATTACTGTATGTATTGGTATCACCTGTTTCTGATATTTTGTAATTTAAGAATAGCAATGGCAACGGCAATGGCAACCTTTGTTCTTGTCATCCAGCTCCCAATTATTATAAGTCATATTTCCACTCTACTTCAACCACAAGGGGAGCGGATATTTGTTGCCCCTTTTTGCCGAGACTTTATATATACTAGGTAATCTCAAAGTGGGGGCATTTTTAAGCTGTCAACTTCTAACCTTCTAACCTTACTCTCTCTCTCTCTCTCTCTCTCTCTCTCTCTTTCTCTCTCTATTCTTGGAAAGGTTGCTCCTGGTGGCTCAAAATAGAGAAACTCGATATATATATACATAGTACCTTTCGCACCAGATTACCTCTATCTGTCAAGCATCAACCTACCTATATCACACTACACGCAGAATGGCAGAGTTAAAAAACGCCAAAGTAAGTTCCGAGAGATTAAAAGGTTCCCAAAGCTCTTCAAACCTATCGGACTATACTGACCACTTCTTTAACTCTAGGGTCTCAGCAATGAGGATATTGAAGCATATAGAGATGCTTTCTCCATCTTCGTAAGTCTGATCCATACCATTCATTATACTTGTTATATACATACATGTTTGCGCAGAAAGCTTACAATAATTTTTAATGCAGGACAAAGATGGTGATGGTACGCGCAATTCAACCCCGCACTTCTTCTTCGCACCCCTTCTCTAACGATTCAATCTTCAATCAGGAACTATATCCACCCAGGAACTCGCAGAGGCAATGAAGTCCTTGGGACAAAATCCATCAGATGCAGAGATTCAAGATATGATCAATGAGGTTGACGTCGATCAATCTGGAACGGTCGATTTCGATGGTTTGTTACACAACGATACCCCACATACATCTTCATATTATCAGCACTTTCATCCGAACTCTTCTGACCATGCTATATTATACTCGATATACAGAATTCCTCAAGATGATGACCACCGAAACAAAGGGTGTCGATTTTGAACAAGAGATGCGCAGCGCTTTCCAAGTATTCGATGTTGATGGAAGTGGCACAATCTCTCCAGAAGAAATCTACAAGTTGATGTCATCTTTGGGTGAGAACTTAACGGAGGAGGAAATTAAGAGTATGGTAAAGGAAGTTGATAAGGATGGCGATGGAAGCATAGATTGTATGGAACACCCTCTCCCTATACTACCCATAACTCCATAGTTTACACGATCACTAACGAGACTTCATTCTTATAGATGAAGAATTTGTTTCATTCATTCGCGACAACAAATGAGGAATCAACACAATTAGGAAAAATATGAAAATGGGAGATATTTTTGGATTTCCATATTGAAGGCAAGGACAATAATATCATAGGAATATACACCATTTTGTCGTGGCCTCCCACCAAAAATGGGAGTGGCAGCTTCATTTACGTTACGTTACAAACGAGATATCAATACCGGTAGATCAAGTGATCATTTTCTTCATTCTTTTTTCTTCGAATGTGGTCTTGCTTTGGCTTATCATCCAGCCTTTTGATATTCGCGGTTCAGTGGTATCACAATGTCCTCTACAAAGGCATTCAGCTACCACTTGGGAAAGCTTTGTCTTGTAACAACAAATGGTACAGCTCAAAGGATTCTCACTTAGACTTCGAAAAGAAGCAATGTTGTTTTCTTTGTCATACATGATCTCCAGAACAATGACATTGTTAAATCTATATGTTCTAGCCAAATCAGCAAACGCGCCCTCTAGAAATTTTGACTTTTTACTCTAGACTACTGCACATACATTTTCATTACAATCAATCAAGATGTCTCAAACCCCAAAAACAAAGGACTCACAAACAAAAACCGTCAAGTCTGAGACTAGGCTCACTTTTGGTGTTGAGATCGAATATCTCTTGGCAACAGTTCCCCCTGTCATCCCTGATCCTCATCCAGATGATCCTCGTGAGAAGGATGGAAAGAAACTCGAATCGATAGACGAAACTAATGTAGACATCTCCAAAACTTTAAAGGCAGCTGGTGTCCCTGTATCAATTCTTTGGGAGGAACTTCGAGATGGCAACACATCAGATGAGGATCTTCTTGCCAAATGGATATTGCAATATGATATCAGCGTTTTACCTATAAATAAGAAAGTCCACCATAATTACCAAGAGCTTGGCATGGAAATCTCATCTCCGCCATACTACTACGACGAAGCTTCAAGAGAAGCCATTCGAACGGTTGTTAAAGTTCTGAGAAATAATTATCTGGTCCGCTCTGATCCAAGTACAGGTTTACATGTTCACGTAGGTAATGAGCATGATGGATTCATGTTCCCTGTTCTCCGCAACCTCGTCGCAATCCTATATACCTACGAACGACAAATCCGACTACTTCTCCCCGCCGACCGTGTGCAAACTAATCAGCGAAGATGGTGTCTCCCTTTAAGCTCAAGCAGATTCTGCGGGCAATATCCAGAGCTCTCTCGTCGAGAGGTCCTGGATCATATCCTGGAGCATCAGAACTATGATGGACTTATCGTAGACATGAGCTCGGCCATCGGCGTCGAACGTCTCGGTTTTAATTTATTGAACTTGAGGCTTCCGTATGCGGACAACCGTACCATTGAATTTCGTCTTCAGCAGGGGATGCTGGATCCCGATGCTATACTTCATTGGGTACATGTCTGTGTGAAACTTGTTGAAAAAGCATGCCTTGTCAAAAATCAAGATGAGTTTGTAGAGCAGTTGAGGAGAGATGTGGAGAAGCCGATTGGGTTTGGCGAGGGATTGCAGTATGATTGATCTGCTGATGTGGTTGGGGTGTCCAGCGCAGGCTTATTATTATGCGGTTGACATGGTGACGTGGAAGACGGAGTTTGAGGAGCGGGTGGAGGAGGATAACAGGCTGGCGCTTCTGATGAATGCGATGGCGAGGGAGATTGCGCAGCGGCAGCGTGATGGGGAGCCGGAGCTGGAGCCGGGGATTGGAGGTGAGGAGGATGAGGGGGATGATGGGGATGATGGGGATGATGAGGGTTGGTGGGAGGATCCATTTTAGGTTGTCGGTTGTCAGTTGTCGATTGAGTTTTGAACGATAGGTAAGTCATCCCATCCCATCCATGATCCATCCCATCCCTTCCTTCCCTATTTTATTATCTTTTCCTTTCCTTTCTTTTCCGTTCCCATTGTGCCGCTGATCGACTTACTACAGGTAAGTCATCAATAACAAGTCATAAGTCATTTATTTATTTCCTCTCTCTTCTTCCCTCTTCCCTCTTCCCCTTTCTTGTGCTTTGCGCGCGAAGTATAGGTAGGTAGTAAGCGGATTTCACAGATAAGTCGATTTCTTTCATAGTAGATTGCGTAATATAATATAATTGTTAATTATACATACTCGAGTATATACATACATATATACATACATGTGGTTTTTATATTGGAATTATGAATGGCAATGGGAATGGAAATTTGAATGTGAAAGTGATGCGTCATCTCGAGATACAGAAATTTGATTTACTCGAGTATATATATTATTAATCTATATTATAATAAGAATATTTTCAATAACAACCGATGAATAGATATTAGTTAGGAAGGTCCCCGCTCTACTAATCTAATCTAATCTAATCGAGTACATCAAGCGATAAACTGTGATTGATACAATAAAGGAAGTTGTTTTGAGCGATGTGATGCATTGCATTGCGAAGTAAATAGTTGAAAGACTTGCTTGTGTGCCATACTGTCACGGTGTCATGCAGCCCAGCCAGTCTGATGGATATACATACAGCAAACAGGTTCCTCGAACCTGATACCACAAAATGCTTTTGAGCGTCACGTACTCGAGTAAACTCGTGACTACTGGCGCGTGCTCCACTTTCCTCTATTCTAGTTGACTTCATTCTCCGATTGCGAACGAAATGAGATATCCGAGATGGAGATGGAGATATTTATCTCCAATACTCGAATTACCTTTTATATCATATACGTTTTTAGTGTATATACCTTTGAAATATACCTTTGAATCTGTCCAACAGAATCACTCTGGAACCTGTTTCGTTCATGAAGGTTTGTATAGTGAGTGACAGGAGTGACGGTCATTTGAGAAGATAGAAGAGTGTTGTAAGGGTAGATGATCGTTATATCGTGGATATTGATTGATGAATTCGAGTAATCAAAGTTAGCTTGGAATTATGACTTGATTGGAGAGAGCACTGCTATCCATACAAACGTCGGTTTTCTTGCACTGGCGGCGTTATATGGTCTTTCTTCTTTTTAGACATTCATCTTTGGAACAACAAGAAAACAAGGACGAATTTGTTCTTTGTTTTTCGGTGGATTGTTCACATATTGATTATTCAGTCACAAAGAAAGATGGTAAAAATATGGTTAAAAAATAAAGGTTTAATTATTCAATTTAGGAAACTTTTGTTATTGAGTTAGTTGATCAGAATCATCTGAGCTACAAAATAATAAATGAAATGGTGACCAGCCTAACTTGTTGTGATAACCATGTCACGCTAAGACTTACTCACTGATTTTTGTTGAGTTTTGTCCATACGTGTGGTGTCTCCTGCAGCGACAAGATGATCTCACTGCGTGCCGCCGAAGCGTCGCATAAACTGAGCCCAAAACTCCTCTTCAGTGGTTTGATCCACAGTCATTCTTGCCAACAGATCTCGAGATGCAACGATGTCTGCTTGACCAGCCACAGTTTGTTGAAGGATGGCATTGAGACTCGCCATACCTTCTGGTCGCGACAATGGACGAAGTGGCTGTCCTGGAACTTGCCCTGGCTGATCATGGAAAGCGGAGCGTTGAAGGATGGCATTTATACTCGCGAAGCCTTTTACACGTGGCAATTCACGACCTGGAAGTTGTATCTGCTGATAAGCGGGCTGATCTTCAAAAATTCGATGAGAACCTACTCCTTGAGCATCAACAAGTGCTTCCTCCGGTCTGTTCTCTGGTCTGAGTTGAGCGGCAGCTTGAAGATCGACATAGCGTTGATCTGCTTCGGGCCTATTGTGGTTCCAGAATTGCCTGACAGTTTCGTAAGTGAACACTCTTGGAGGCCATGGATCTTGCACATAGGCGGCACCGCCTTCGACGTGTCTCATCTGCTCGATCGCCATAGCCATAATGACTTGACGGAAGTCGTGTGAAGTTACTGGTCGCACTTGTCCTCCTCCGTCACGTACTAAGTTGTTTATGAAGTTGAAAAAGAAAGCTTTTTCGCTATCAACCCAATGTAATGTCATGTTGGCGTTAGTTTGCTAGGACTTCAGAAGTTTTTGGAAGAGCTGAAGATTTTCTTAAAAGATTGCTGTCTAGATGAATTTGTTATTTATCTGGACGGTTGTTTCAAGAACGCGGTTGTGGAAAGGAAACCTTATCTTTATCCATAATCTAGTCATATTTATATATCTTTTATATACATTGTTCAACTACTGTTCTTGCAAAAATCCGAGGATGATTCGAGACATATACTTGATGAGGCTGTTCTCTATTCTCTAGAGAAATTCCAATATTTAAAAGATTTTACTTCTCTAAAAATTACTGAGTTTTTTTATATAATCTGTTATTTTAGATGTATTCAATATTCTGAATTTATATAGAGATTTGAAAGGAATCTTAAAACTAATAATCTCTTATATTGGGATTATACACTAAAATTTGATAATAATTTAGAAAAAAGAATATAAATACTCTCTCTAGACTTTGATATAATTTCTAATAATATAGATTAGCTTTTTTATATTATTCAAGAATAGATTCTAAATAATATAAAAATAGAATGAATAGAATTTTTTTAAATTTGAAAATACTCAAGTAATATAATTCACTTTTTATAGTATAAGAATAATATCGTTATATATCAATTACTGGTTTTAAAGTTATCTTAATACTATGACTTAATCCTCTCTAAACCCTCTCTAAGCTCCGATAATCTTATTATCAAAAACATACGATTATCAGCTTAAAGTTACAAATTATATATAAACAAATATCTTAGAAAGAAATTATCATTATGATATCCGATCAAAGCTATGCTAAAAGACTTATCTTCTTTATTTTAGTATTAACCCAGTATTCAATTATCAATGATTAAGCCAAAGAGATATTATACAAACATCATCATAACAGATCCATAATTCTGATTGCTTAATAGACATATATTCTTCTTTCTCTGGAAAACACTCCGATATTTTGATAAACTGTAAATATACTGGTAGAGCTTTATTTGATAGAGATCATTCGAATGGAAGGAAGGTTGGACTTGACAATAAATGAAATGGAACGATTTTGATTAGAAGGCAATTGGAAGAAAAGAGCGAAGATTAGAATTGAAAGGCTTGAAGTCATCAAAAATAGAAAGTACCAAGGGCCAAGAAAGTAACCGTCCACTATCGCCATACAAATGACATTTGGATTCTTGGATTCTAGTTACAAAACTTAGAGTATCGAAAAGAAATGCCCTCGATTATATTGATGATCAATCTTTTCGAGGATTCAGATAAATAGGAACATTACCATTACAATAGTCCTCCACAAATGGTAGCTTTCTATAATTATATAGTCGATATATATTTGTAATCTCCTGATTTATATGCTTCCAATTATCCCCTGTAACTATATCCATTTTGATCTTCTCTTTAATTTGAAAAGGAAGTGCAATTACTAGAATAGTTTCATAGTGATATGCAATTTGAAAGTTGTAATTGTTATATCAAAGATCGAAAACTATAACTGTTTTATATAACCAGATTAATAAAATCAAAGCTTTTGCATTGTTTTTATAGATATCTAGTATTTACAGAGATTCTTGTATAATAAATGATATTTCTGATTGCTTGAATAGTGAACTCTGTGGATAGACAATATTGAAAACTCGGACAGGAGTATATACTTTGATAATTTCTGTTTATATTTGACTCTTTATTATTATAAATATTATAGATGGAAAAAGGATGAAGTTTGTGCAGATTGAGAATTGAGGCAAAAAACAAGATTCATATAATGATATATTGGCAACAATTACTTATTTGTTGAACTCGCTAGACCACCAGATCCCCTAGTTATCCTTGTCCCAAATTAACCAACCCCTCCCCCGCCTTTTTCCTGCCTTTCCCCAGCCTCAACTAGCTTCCCGCCTTGTCAAACACAGTAATCCTCTCTTCCGTTCTCACCAATCCCAATGTCCTATAGCTCATCTCAATTTTTTATTGCATCGAAGGAAGAATTAGAAAACTACATTCGAAATATTTGATACTTCTGTTTGATCCAGGTGGATTTGGCCAGGTGATTTGTGGATCGTTAGGGCTATGTAATATTCTGTAGATACTGATCTGTACATTTGTGATCAGAACGCCGCAGATCATATATTCATTCCGTTGATATTGACACATCTAACAGATCTGTGAGATGAATTATATAGCATTGATCATTAGGGCTTTACCTTTGATGAGAGTGAGGTATAAGGGCATTGAAGGAAGCTACTCGAATATTGTGTACAATGTAAAATATACTAATATAGAGGATATATTCAAAGCTTCAAGAGATCATTGAGTATTTCACTGAAAAGAATAATACGACAAAAGGATGATATTCTTCTATACATAAGTGTTGGTCCTTCTAATAATGTCTACAGCGATTCATATTTATCCAAGCTTTATCCCTAACTTTGAGATAACCGAGTAGTCATTCTTGAAGTTTCATATGTAATAACAATATTTTTTGTAAATTATTACCAAGTATTCGAATTCGGGGGATTACAGTAGGGAAGGATTATAGTACAGCACAGTAGGCTTAAACTGGAATTATGGACCTACTTTAGTACTAGCTCTGGATTACTTATTTAACAGGGAAAATTGGTTGGAATCGTCTCTATGACAGCCTCCTTTGTGACGATATTCGTGACAGACAGCTACTACTCTGAGATTTACCTTTTCGACTCTCCCTACGAATGTCCCTGCGACCTGTCCCTGTGATTTGTCCCTACAAATATCCCTGTGATCTATCCCTACGAATATCCCTATGACTATCCTTTTGATTATCTTCTAAACAATTCTCCTTAAACATAACCGACATAGTTAACATATTAGAGTAATCAAATATATACATTTTTTGTAGATTACTCGTCGATCTACAAAACTTTCGAAAACTTCCAAAATATCTGAGATGGTTGAAAAACGAAATATTGGTGTTGATAAGTTTTAGGAACAAGGCTTAAATAAAGTATAGGATATATATTTCCCTTTCAAATTACAATCACTTCTATCACCATCAGAGCAAATACTTTCCCCCCAGAACAGCTACCACAGCCAGAACTGGTCCGTTCCTGAACGACAGTTTTCGCGAGACCTCCACCAAGCACCATACGAGTCAACATTATTTACCCCACCTTCAAATAATAGACAAGGCACCGCGAAAGCGTCTACAACCGGTATTGATGTTTGTGAGCAGAATAATAACGATGGAAACGTGAAGAAAAAAAGGAGACTCGATGATTTGTTACAAGCTACAGATTGGGATGAAAGACTTAGACATACGAACTCGGAGTCTACTAGTGTGTGGGATGGAAAGTTGGTGCCTCTGCTCCTTGGCACTGAGTCCCTTACATCTCAATTAGGTATGCTAGCCAACAACCAACCATTACAGTAGTTTCTCACGCAATTTGCAGATAACAATTATCGCCAGATGTGGACTATTATGCCCGATTTTGTTGAATGGGATGATCTCAACTAGCAATCAAAAAAACATCATGTCTTCGGTAAATATGCAAAGATAGATGTTGTCATATCTCTCGTCTCATCCACCGTGATCTGTATACTATTGTAAGGTTCCCCCCGCCCGCCTGCTCCATGCATTAATATGAGGGCAGGTCCGCCGTCCTCCTTCTTATTTATTCACCATGTATCATTTTGTCAAATACCACGCTCCTATATCCATCGTTCCTTGAGTATTGTGGGGCGTGTACATTATCAGAGTTCTGTGGTCTGGAATCTTAATATTGTCCTTCTTTTTGAACTTGTGTGTTTTTTCAGATAAATTCTGTAAGTCTTTAGTAATGAAATGATCCAACAATACCTTAGAAAGACATACCGTGTTCAGATGCTTGTTGGCCTCTTCTATTATCGTTTTCTTGAATGCTGAACTCGTAACATCTTGGACTCCTCGAATAATCCAGTAACTCGGTACTGATTGTTTGAGAAGTATTGACATGAGGGCAGGTTCTGATGTGATCAGCCGAATATATGCAGAAGTTGAAGAGAAATAATCTCATCTTACGATGGATATTCAACTATTGAGAATATCAGACTATCTATGAATCTTGCTGCGACTGATTTCCTGCTAATAGGAATACGAAAGTTAGGCCTGTCAGAATAACCTTAAGTTTTAGCTTATCCGAATTCTTCGAAAGTATACGGTAGTAAGCGAATCACCTTATATATTAGTAGGATTTTCAAAATCGAATCTTTTCTTTTAATATTATCAATCTCAAAAACCTGATATTAAATCAATTCTATTAGAGATTATAATATATAATCAAATATTCGATACTATATAAGAATAGACGAGATTAAAAGAAGTTTTAGAGCTAGTAGAGTTTGAATATATTTTATAGAATTATAAGCTAGTATATATAGTATAGTATATAGTATAATAGTATTAGATATCAATATTATAATAAAAGTTAATATCTGAAATCTAAAAGGAATAAGAGCTTTATTTATACTTTTTCTATATCTCTTATTTTGATTATATTATCTAGATAATATAAGCTATAAGCTTTGACTAGGTCAGTCCACTTGAAAATGACAACTTTATTATATAGGCTTATATGGAGCCAAATTAGATGGTATAGAATAAGGATCATCGAATTTTCATTCTCAGAACCAAAGTTGTACTATTAAAGTATAATGATAAAGCCTTCCCAATGTATACATCGAAAATCAGGCCGGCACAAATTCTTTTCCATGTAGTCACAGAGTACGTTAACGTTGGATACTTTCGATAGGTTTTCAGTCCTATGCTTACGGTTAATATAGGCTTGGTAGAGTTGTATGGAGGAAGTATTGAAGTTGGTATCAGATATTGTTATGCAGTGAACGAATTTTGACGGGATAGCGTAATTTATTGGCCTTGTCATCATTCCATATTTACAACTACTCCCGCCCTGACTCGCATTCATCGCCCATTTCCAGGCCCGTGTCAGGGCTATATATCTACTCCGTATAAAGGTTCATATTTAGAAACATATACAAATCTAATAAGTCTTATAAAACATAAGATTGTAAGAATCGATCCTCGACTCGCCTCCTCGTTCCAAACGCTCACACACGTATAAGATGATAATTCATAGCCTTCCAGTCATCCACGCATGACTGCTCATCTTTTTCGTACATGGTTTTAAATGTTTCTCGGATGATTTGTGGACTTTGGAGTTCACTGTCACAATCCATAAATGTAAGATACCAGAATATATGGGCATACAGCTTTAACCCCTAATGTACCGCCAGTTTGGCTCTACTTGTGTGAGTGATAATAACTGTATTGAACTACCAATTTACGAACAACGACCACCACTTCCAAGGTTTCTATAACAAAGTAATCTAAGAGAGAATCCTAAATTGGAAATAATAATTCGGTGTTGTTGTTGCTACCATTGTTACTATTCATCTTATCATAATCTTTATACTTATTCATAACCGAACTCTGCGAATAAAAAAGATAGTGTAATTTGAATAGTGACAATTGGAAGCTTCTACTATCGTCCCAGACCATATCCTAAGTTCCGGCGTTCCGCAGTCGAAAAGATACTGCAATATGCCATGCTTCAGTAGTCACTCGATGAAAGAGTGTGAGATGCTCCTGCAACATCGGATATCCTACTGTGGTCAGGTTTACCAATTGGTAGTACTATTGTAGGATGTGTTGATATAGCCTAGTTTTGAGATTCTGGAGAGTGCGGGAATGTGCGGGAATGTGAAGAGGGGTTTATAGCGAATTCTCTAAGGGAAGAAAGCCCGATGCATACCATCTACTCACTGCATTAAGTACCTCCGCACATCCTATCCACTATCCTCATTTTAAACTCCTATATAAAGTCCAATGAATTGCTTTAAAATCTTGTCCCTCCATATACAATATAGATAGAGGGATAGCAATTCCCCAAAGAAGTTTCTTGGTATCTCATTACAGAGGGTTCCAAAGTCGCGCTGAAAATCTGCAGCCAAATCCAAGCGCGAGGGCAAAGAATCATCACTGTTTAAAGATCCTTTGCTATCATCTTTATAGTTCTCATCGCTCTCATTGATAGCGAGGTCGTTTACACTGACAGTAACATCCCAATATCACATTGAATCAAAACAGGATTATCCGGCGGATTGCCAGCAACTATTGAGAATGTATCTGCAAACTTTGCAAAAGGTGGCGAATGGAGACACTTGAACTCGAACTTTGATGTCAGCATGATCTGTATGACTTAAGAATTGTGGTTTGGTGCTTGATATATAGGAGAATGGGGCTACTTGTATAATACTTCTGATTATGGAGCTGGATATCTGATATAACAGTGAATTGTTGTAGGCGAGGGGGGTGGATCAAGATGAAGAGGTCCACTTCACCTGCACATTGCAAGATATAGTCATCTTTACTAGACGATCTGTAGAAGGATATACGTGCAGTCATTGTTTCGCGAAGTAGATACATCTGCAGGGGGCAAATGTTATTCCTCTCCCCTCTAACAAGTATGTACTCGAGTAAACTAAAAATAAAGGTGTCATGCAAAAGGAACTTTGGAAGAAAGGAAGTCGTTTAAAGGGGAGAAGGTCGAATTTGAGATTATGACCTCCAGATGTGCTGCAGATATGGATGAAAGCGAAATTTTCGTGTAAGTGTGCTTGAGAACGTATATCAATAACTTTTGTGATATGGAGAAGATAAATGATGTGATGTTGCACTTGCTCACATTATTACAGCAGGTAGATGGGAAGTTTGGTGGCACCGTGAGGTCCAATAGCTAGCCGGTGCCATGTAACCTCGATTACGATTTTCTCGTGAGGATCATCAAAGAATCAACGTAAAGACTTTAATAGGGACTAATTTGGGAAAGGAATCGAGGGGACGAGGGAATCAATGTGGAGATCGGGTCACGATAACTAGGGTTATATTTTATGTGAGTTGACAGATAGATAATAGATATGATCGCGGAGAGTTTCATTCCTGAACTAGTTTAGTAGGCCATCCACATTAAGTCTTTTCCGATGATCTTAAGATCCAAAAACCGATCCTGTATTTTGTAAACATCCTCGAGGACTTCAAGTTCAATGCTCCAGCCACCCACCCACCATATCCGAGTAAAATGATGTTGAAGTCGAAGTCACAACTTGGGTCTGAACGCGTATTGTTATTCCCTACATACTCGAGTACTCCACATGCTTACCTAAGTTACTCAAGCTTACCGGCAATCCTTATTTTCTCCATAGCCGCATTTATCCAATTAGCTGTACTTCCCGTACTCCTTCCTCTCTCCTTACATAGCAAATCCGATAACCCTTTCACCAATCACTGCCACTTCCCTGCTTTTAGCTTGTGAATACATTCCTTGCATCATCTTAATCCAACTATGGTTGCTTGCATCCCTCTAGTCCCTGTTTCCCCTAGCTTCAATGCTGTGACGTTCATGCAAAGCTTGATCCGAGGAGCTCTAGGTCCGAGCTTCTTTCTTGATGTGTGATATGATGTCCCCGGTGGGTGTAAATGAATGTAGTCTTAGCCAGTAAACGCCTTCCTCTTTCCCAGCTGAAAGCTCCTGTTTCCCCCCAGTTTCTGATCGCTTTTCATCCTATATCTATCAATTCATCTCAATTTGTAACCACTTCATCTCGATACTCAGTATATATACACCAAAGTTTCTATATTCGAGAACAATCTACATACACATATCAACCAATATGACTACCCGAAAGAGAAAGGCTGAAGATGAGGAGCTCGTTGCTCTGCCCTCAGATGAAAGTGAGGAGGAAGATGAGTAAGTGTTTTCCGCATTTCCCATTCATCGATTGATCTCTCATGCCATGTATACCCTTCAAAAGTTCATGCATCACATCTATATGGTTACTGCATGTCATTCTATTAAATCGCAAGCTATCTGATGGAAATTTCATTTGTTGTTTTTTTGTATTGATGTTTGATCGTCGGATCACTTGGCTGGACATACTTGATTGTTCATTCATTCACGGATGGAATCATAACTAATCATCGCAATCTATTAGGTATGAAGACTCCGATGCCGAAGCAGTACCTCTGCTGTCGACTGGATCAGATGAAGAGGAAAGCGATGAGGATGAAGAGGAATTAGAAGAGGAAATTCAAGGTATGCGATGCGTATCCTGACAGCCGATACCACTTACCAATATACTAACGAACAATCGCACAGAGACCGCACCTCCAACCAAAAAGCGCAAAGTCGTCGCGAACGACGTGGCTGTCGACGAGAACGAAATCGATGACGGTGAAGCATCCGGCGATGACAACGAAACCGAACCCGAGGATGATGGAGTAGTAGAAGAAGAAGATTCTGCTGCAGAAGATGCAGTTGGTGGTTCGGGACCTACTAGTAAAGCTGCCGAGGTAAAGGGGGGAATAGTTCCCGAAGAGGATGATTTGGATGAGGTTCAAGAAGTCGTTGCCGAGGATGAAGATGATGAGTAGATAAGCTTGCTTATCGTCATATTCTTCTTTGCAATGCGCGAGTATCCACTTCACTTACGGATGCTAGACAGAAGACCGTGCGGGATGCAACATGCGAAATGAATGATTGGGATGATGTACGAAATGATATGAGGGATTTGGGGTGGAAATTACTGGCTGGCACTGGTCAGCTAGTGGCAGTCTGATTGGATTGGAAAGGTGTAATAAGGAGTGAAAAGGGGCGAAATCAGGATTGTTGTGTAGAAGCAGTTGTTCCTTTGCTCTTTTGCTTATCTACCTACCGCTGACATCAAGTAAACTTCTACTCTTACTAAAATTGTCAGAGTCTAGTCTAACCCACAAACGCGCGGTACTAATATGACATTCATATCAAGCCCCATGCACTGGGGAGATTTCCGCAAAGTAATATGAGCATCCTGTGCTTCATAACAGTGAATGAAGCTTTTTTCACTTTAAAAATCGGTTTTCAGTTTCTGTATCGAAACCTTGTCAATTCAATCCATACTGTAGCAGAGTTTGAGTGACCCCTTCATCTTAACCGAAAGGCCATCTCCGTCAACTCACTTCAAAATTGTTGCGATCTTTTGTTTCCTGGTTCATCTTTCAGAAATCAATAATCATCCATTCATAATTAGTGGGCCCTAGCATCCATTGGCCAATTCCACTATTGTATACCTACATGCTTAAGCAATCCCAATTTATCGCTACCATCACCCAAACACATGGGAAATTTGAACCACTTGTACCACTATCATTAGAGTGGATTATTTAATTTCTACTACAGCGTTTTGTATCTGTTTGACTTGGATAGGGTTATAGCTAACCTGTGTACGTATGTAGTGCAAAGCATGTCTGAACTTTAACTTAGACACGGCATGAAATGGTTCGGTGTATTCTTCATTTATTTATATTACAAGGTTGCTTTCCAAGTTCCTGGCTTGATCAATCATCATGCTACAAATTTGTGGCTACAGCTTTACAAATCTACGAGCGTGATTTTTCTGGAAGACCTTTGGAATAACTAGCCAGGTACGGATATCACGGCTGACATCGCAATTTGGATCTTGGAGCAGAACCTGTATGCAAATTCGAGACTTACCAAACTACTCGAACTGTTTGTTTCAAATTTCTCTATATTAGTAATCGAGAAAGTCTATACTGGGCTGTTTTAATGCAAGACGGCTGAATACATTTGGTATCATTTCTTTTTCTTACGGACTCCTGTGCTTTGGCTTCTCCTCACTAATCTTCCTTCCGTCTCTTGTCAATCGATTTCAATCTTTATTCGTTCTCCTTGCTATTTACCTACTTACTCGAGCAATAAAATATCGTATCACATCATATCATTATTGCCGCAAACTCCAATCATTTATTTTCCTTCCTGTTTAGCTACACAAAGGCCTATCAACCTGTTTATCGTAATCTATACAGGGATTTTTAACCCAATGATTAAGATACAGATCGACGAGTGAAAAGAAATCCCAGTCGAAACAACCCCTCCACACGACTTCTACCGTGGTATATCCACCAATTCTACCTATTCAGGGCTGTATCTGTGCTGTCTCTACCCAACCAAACACTCTTTCATCGCTTCGAAAATCTTCATCAAGTCTTCACCTCGACAATCTTTTCTTTCCTTCTAGCCAAGATATACCCAGGCGGTTACCAATATTCATTTCCTGTCTTTCGCATTGTTTTCCAAAACACTCGCTCACGTCACTTCTTTCGTGCTTCCTTCACTTGTCTCCAGTTTTAGGGCAAATCCATCGATCCACAAAACCCCCCGTGTCCCACGGTTTGGTTGTCCTTTTTTCGTTGTCCTTTTGAAGAGAAATAAGGACTTTAAGAGGAGAAGACCCTTTATTATTTCCTTGGCCCGCACTTTCAATATTTTTTTCACCGAGTATTAGATTCGGCCACCTGTTTTTCTGGAGAGGGTTGATCTTTATTGTTGCTCTTTCCTCTTATTGTTCAATCGTTGGAAAATCATTTGTCTCAATCGTTGACCGTTTATTCCTATCATTTGCTTGCTGCGCTCGCTCACTGACTCATTTTTCTCTAACTCTCGCTCTAAGATTGTCTGGTATTGCTGCCGCTTTTGTGTTTTTTTGATACTGGTTAACACTTTCTATTTCCGTATTTTTGTCCATCACGAGCCTCCTTGAGCATCCATTTTTATTTTTTTCATATGACCCTATTGTCAACGTTTGCGGAGGAGATACCCACTCCCCATTTTACTGAAAGAGTCAAAAGAAAGGCCGAATCCTTTCCGAAAGATGCCTCTTACACGCCGTCTCTCCCAATTCTTTTCATCGTCACCTTCGTTACATCTGCTTGGGAAAGATATGAATACTTTTGATATCACTACTACTTCTACGCCTGCTTCTTCACCACCTTCTATATCGGAGGAAGTTATCTTTTCAAGTGCGATAGAAGCCGAGGACCAGGAGTCGAGTCAAACTTCTGTCGAGCAATCACCTAATGCAACCAAAAGACCTCATCATCGAAAAACGATAAAGAAAATATTCCGTCGTTTCTCTCTCCATTCTTCACCCAAAGATTCAACCACTATTCCTCGCACCTTGTCACCGGTCAGCGATGTCGTTATTGTGGAAACTCCACCCGATTTACCCACTCTCACAACCACAACCGATGTCCCACCTCGCGATAGCCACGAACGAATAGATTATACCCGAATTCAAATCTCCTCCCTCCCATTTCCGTTCCCGGATCTCGCCTCCCCTCTTCGAAAATCCATCAATGCCGGCCAAAAGCTTGAATGCTCCGATTCCGGTTATTTTTCCCTGACCAGTGTCTCCTCATCGTCTCTATCACCCTCCGCTCCGTCCCCCACTTTACGCCTGATCCGTCGTATCAACAAAGCTATACTCCTACTCGAATACCAAGAACTATTAACTACACGCTTCTCGACGAATTTGGCGTATCTATTTGGGAAGAAAGAAATGGCAATTTGGAGGACGAGGAAAATGAGTGATGATACCAAGGAATTGATCATTATCATTTTGACGAAATTGAGGGAATTGGTCGGGAAAACGATGGTTCATAAGACGGGATTAGTGAGGAGGAGTAGGTGTATATTGGGAGAAGTCGTAGAGGCGATTGTATCAAATCAGAGAAGGGATTCTGGTGTAGAAACCGAGACACCAGCTTCGGAAATAGCCGAACACACTCCCAGTCCCGAAGTTGTTGAAATGTCAGGAAGTGAGCCGGAATCAGAAGGGCAAGGAGATATGAAGGAAACTTTAGAGACACTGAGAGCTGATATTGCGATGCAAAAAAGATTAGATGAAGTTTTGAGGGCAGGAATAGTAGGAAGCTGTGGGGATGAGAATTTAATGATGGGGTTGCCGAGTAGGAGTGAGAGGCTTTGTTTAAGGAGATTTGTGGGGTTTGTGGAGGGCAGGGTGACGGAACTTGGCGGAGCATATGCGAGGGTTGAGAAGGCTGTCGGGGGCTTGGAGAGGTCCGGATATGAAAATCTGCTGGCTAAATGAGTGATCTGGGTGGGAAAAACTCAATAACATATACCAAAATACCCCTTGCACGCTCAACTGGGCTCTGAGATGGAAATGAAGATATCTCACACCAATTGGTCAGCAAGGAATCCAATACACATATCTGCAGGCCAACAGATCACGAAACAGAACACCAGGTCGTGCTCAAAGAAACTCGTCTGGAGCGAGGAAATGGGGAATAGATGAGAAAGAGGCGGGTTCTCCTGGATACACGGAACAGGCGCATGCTTAGGAAGGAAGCTTGAATAATTATGACTTGAGTCGGGTAATGATATGGAATTTAATGGGTGGAATTGGGATTTCGATGTAAATACGACGAGGCGAGAATTGAAGCCGCGTATATACGAGTTAGTTGGGGGATATAAATCAGACAGGTTAGGTTAAGTTAGGATATCAAAAATTGCAAAGAGAGAGTCAAACTCGGCACGAAAACACGAAGATGTTGCTGGAAATATAATATATCGCGCTTGATGAGACGGGAGGGGGTGGATCTCCAATATGCACTATGCACTATGCACTGTGCTTAGCCCCTAGCCCACAGCCAGGTGCAATGTTCCCCATACTCTAAGTGGAGCTTTATCCTGGGTCATTTTATCGTCTATGTGAATCATGCTTCCCCACTCGCTCGAACCCCACGATCCACAATTACTTGGCTGCGTCATGTGGTTGGTTTAAATAGTAGGTAGAGTTTCAGTTTGTGATGCGGGTACCAACCGTTTACTTACTCTTACAACTCTTACAACTCTTACAGTAGCGGGAAGAGTTTAGGGCGATGGATTTGGATTTGGATGGATAGATACACGTTACGGTACTTGGTTGTTGAGGATGGATGAGTTGGGTTGTTGGGAGAGAAAACTGGATGAGAGGGATGGAGAAAGAGGGATGGGGGCGGGGGGTGAGTGTTGTCGTTTGGAGCCATTATTGTCGGTTATCAGGAATTGCGAAATGGGGATGAAAAATGCGAAATGAGATTAGTATATCCATATGTCCCTCGAGAAAAAAGTAAAACTCAACTCATCAAATTGCTCGCGTTCGCAGCACTCTGTTGGTTTACTACTTGATGTTAATGCAAATCATCGAGATTGAGATGAAGATGAAGATGTAGCGGTGAGAAATTCATAGGCCTTGCATGATTGCGAATGGGATATGGGATATGGGATATGGGATATGGGATATGGTTGGTTGATGTGAAATGTGAGATGTGAAATGTTAAATGTTAAATGTGGAAATGGGCGGGTGGTGTGGATATGATGCTTGACTTTTTCAAATCCGCGCTTACTTGGTTATATAAATAGGGATATTTTTATAGGATAGGGAAGGAAGTATGTTCATAATTATACAACCAAAATCCGAGAGGCTCAGGAAAAGTTGAGGAGGATGCCGCTGTGCTTTGGGCTGGTGGTTGCTTGGTTATGTCGTTAGGAAGGGGATTCGGGAAGGAGGGGGTTTTTGATTTGGAGTTTAGCTGTTAGAACAAGAGATAAGGTGAGGAGTGTTGTCGATTTTGGAAGTTGGGAAATGGGATGAAGAATTGTAGGGTTGATATGATGATAGTGACAGTGGTAGTGGAAACTTGGCTGGAATTGAGAATTGTTCAATGATGGTAGTTAATGTTTGATTGGCGAAGATAGATAGAATACGGGATAGATAGCTAAAGTCAACGACTAAAGCCTACTTCCAAGAGCCATCTCGTTCGGTAGTTGTTGGGGTTTGAGATGGCACGAGAGGCGTGAGAAGTTCTTCCTGAAACATAACTTTTGGGTTGGAAAGTGTTTGGTACAGAAAATAACGGCTTGAGGTAGACGGTGGCTTTTATAGGTAATAAAAAGTCGAATATAAATGTAAAGCAATAGACGCATGGATTCATCAGATTATCAATGAAATAGATAGCAATCGATTGGATTTGGGACATGAGAACGAGGGAGAGTGGATGAGAGTCAACAGATCGAATTGAGTGAATAGGTTGATGCTACACTTTCACCAGCGCCTGCCTCTTCGTCATACTCAACAATCTACAGCTATTCAAATCGATATCGATTTGCACAGTCACTCTCATTCACCCCCCTACCCCCTACGTCCCCCTCGCAGCCTCGCTCGATTTCCACATCTATATAAACCACTGTAACCCAAGGATCTGGAGCAATAAACTAAATACCATGTAGAGATCAAGTGGGAGCTATGGGTCTTGCTGTGGAGCTCTTATGGGTATCTATGTAAGTCTTTGATGAGATTATTTTTGGTTTCGGGGGATAGATTTGTTGGAGAAGAGATGATGTAGATGCTGTTGGGCTGATATATATATTGTTATTGTCATTGCCTTCAGTGCGGGACTGTATGATTGTCAATACAAGTCTATTGTTGAAATAAACAAACGAGTATGTTTTCATCAACGATGAAAACGTAGCAAAACTTGTCATCGAAGCAGCCGAGAATTATGCTTGAGGAGATAATAAGTTGAGTGAAATACATTGGTGCGGATAGTGGGTGGCACTGGGTGCTTTCTCTCTCTCCTCAATCGAGCAGCAGCCTTTCATTGTCATTCTGGATGTGACCATTGTACCAACCTGCACCTCCATTGGGAAGGTTCTTTATATGCACAACCTAAGGTCGAATTCCAGTAAATTTTGAAGATATCGGTGGGGAATGTTTTTAGTGCCATGTGATCAAAATTTGAGCTTTACTTTCAAGGCTGGAAGAAAAAAGTGACTTTATCTTCGGTGATGTTCGTGAGTAGATAGATGCGGAGAAAGATTGTGGGACCGGCGGTGAACAAGAGATGTATATGGAGGAATATAGGTTCAACTCGGGGGTATGTAAAGTATGCAGCATTGGCTACTGCTTGATGGATTATTGATAAGTATAAAGATTCGATAATGGCATTCAGGTAGATTTTTTGACCTTGTGTAACAGTTGGGATAAGGAGATGTGCGTACCTTAGGTTTTGCAATCCGCAGATGATTTCGTTAGTATGTGGTTGTGTTGTTAAGAGTAGATGTTGTGAGATGAAGATGACTGCTACTATGACTATGTCTATAGCAAATTTTGACATAATGATATTATTATACTTGGGTTGTGCCATATCAAAAGCATAGTAAATTCTCAAAAATACATCAGCTATGAATTCACTATGTGGTGGGTATCAAAGAACTTGGAAGGGCCTGTTTTCTATTCATTATATTTGTAGTGATACAATATTACTCTATTCGGCTACTACCGGTCTGCCATCTAAGGTAGTCGAAAGGAGAAAAATAATACATAGTAATCCAGGTTTGAGAAATATAAAGAACCACACTAGAACAGGCCAAGATTAAGAAATATCAATGAATTATACTCAGTAATTACTCTTCTAATATCTTCTTAGTAGTGAGTATTATCTCGTATCCTGATAAATTCAATAGTTTAGTCAATTGTTAGGATATATACTTGAGTAGTGCAGATAAGTAGACAGACAGTACTGAGACAGTACAGTCTTAGTATACACACAATCCTAGTACAACACTCGCTTAGTAACCAGCATAGCAACCACACTTACCAGAGCTGTACTGTGAAGATACTTATTTGTGAACTCTGAAAACTAGTTTACTCCAATATCTCCAATACCTACAAGTAATTCCTCTTACTTGCTTACAGTTTTTACATTCAACTGTACAACAATTTCATACAAGACTTGTAGCAATCTCGATATTTATTTCAATACTGATCACATATTTCGCAATTTATACACACTTTACACACCCTCTCCAATACTTTTCAGACCTGCAACGCACTCAAAGTAGCTTTTACATAAGCATCGTGGGGTCGAATACGAATTACATCTAATTCGCTCATTTTCCAAGGCAATTTATTCATCGCAGTAAGAGAGTGAATTCACTCTATCCTAAAATCCTGTATAATCTTCTAACAGCCACACTAGATTGGAGTCAGCAGACTTAGAACATATAACCATGTCTAAACGCAAGCTTTCCGTCAACACCGACAACGTATGGTCTGTGGTAGGAGAGAAACTTGAGAATCTAAGTCATAAAAAACCCAAATCCGATGTTGGATCCTCTCCCAACTCAAAATCCACCACTGTCTCTACCCCAGTGTCCAACCAAATGGAAAGCGTTGAGTTCTCCTCGACAATCAAAATGACGGAAGATAAACCTTTCGTCGACCTCACCATTCCGACAAGTCCTGCTTCCTCCTCCAATCTCAGTTCTGCTCCTACCGATATTATCAACATCGATAATCAAATCACCGCGGAAGACACGATGGATGTAAATGAGCCCAACACCATCTCTACTCCTGACCCTGAAAAAACTGATAAGATACTCTGTACCATCAAATTCAACGATCTATACTATCTGGACTTCCAAACGCCCTTCACCCAACCTGATCTATTCTTTGATCTCACCCAAGATCCTTCTTTGTGGGTTGCATTTTTCGAGCGAAGCATCCACACTCGGCACACGGCAGACCCTTCTCAGTACATTCAATATTGTCTCTCAGCAATGCGCATGAGAAGCGGAAATTGCCGAGACTTGCTTGCGGTTTTCGTTTTTGCCTTCATATTCGAAGACGATAAAGATTCCTATGGCTTTTGGACAACACTGTATCGTCTTTTATATTGGATGATGGATTTCGAAAATGCATCCGGGCAGAAGATTGTGTATTTGGGTAGAATTGTAATGCCAGGTGGGCTATTGAGAGGATGCTGGAATAAGGTGTTGCAGCGATATCTTCAAGATGAAGATTATCTGGGCCCGATCATGTACTTCACTGTCACCGAGGAGAGTGGTTTTCGTTGGATCAAACCAGAAGCCGGAGAAAATTTGACGAAAGAGTGCTCTTTTGAGGATAATTGGGTGATTGAGCTACCAAGGAACGAATATGCTGCATGAGCAAATTGGGATTGAAAGTAAATAGTCTTGATGTATTTACTGGGTTTTGAGATGAAGGCTTCACAACGTTACATGTAATGAAACTTCCATTCATCAATAGTCAATAATATTATGTATTAATGGGATGATTTGATTGACCATGATGTGCTGTGACAAAATTCACCAAGTCTTTGCTACATAACTTCATTGGATTTGACATTGATATGATACAGTGTACATTATGCATAAATCAATGCTATGAATGCTATAATGAGACCAGAATAGCTGGAGTCTTGACAGTAAAATTCGAGAAACAATCTATCTTATCCTAGTAAGACACTCCGCAATCTACGAATAATGAAGATATCCTTATACCAGTGATTTTTCCTCTAACTTCAACAATGTAAAGGCTCGCTTTGAATAACTATGTTGTGCCATCACTTGGGTCCGGGCTATTGTGATATGACACATAAATGATATCGATTTAGACCTCACTGGATCTTTCTACCATTTTATTATTATCATACTGTATCTGGTGTTGTTCAGAAATCCAAGCTGAGCCACATTAACTCAGATAACACATCATCCCAGATTGAGAGAATCATGAAAAGACTGAAAGAGACCAGGCATCACGCCTGCCTCTGGTGAGAAAGAGAGCTAATTTCAGTTATAACATTCATGCAGTCATTGCTGGAGATATTCGGTCATACGTCCATCCATCTTTGTTGTCTTGTATTTTTACAGCCTTCCCATGTAATCGGATCATTCCATGATTGCAAGGACCCCATAATCCACACTCTTTTGACCCGTGGGGCATGGTTGACAATAGTGCAAGGCATGATCACCGTGACCAAACATTTGATTAAGTGCCTTCATACCTTGGCCCAATAGTCAACTAAACTTTTAGCAGGATCCGTGGAAATCTGGGCTTGCTACCCATCCGGTCTCAGCTCTTTTTCAAGCAAAGAGTGGTCAATTAACCAAACAATATCCTCCTAGTGTTCTCATCCGACATAGCTTCGAACTTCGAGTTCAATGCAGACAATCATATAGTATCAACTTGACGGTCTCGTCCGATATAGTGTCAAATCTGGGGGTTTCACTTAGGAGACCTAGGTCCCAAACACTCGTCTGGTTTTGATTGGTATCACACGATATAAAAAGTGAAAGTTTGGAGTTTGGTTTTCATTTACAGGTATCAACTGGCGTGTTTCGTTGCACATTGTTGCTGCAGATTGGCGTCAAACGTCTCGAACTGGGTAGTGGAGAATTAAAGACTTGCTTTCCTTTGTTACTTCGAATACAAGTACCTCATTCGGCTTACCAAACAAGTTGGGCTTGTCTTGATATCTGAAGTCATTTTGAGTTGTGTTTGATGTAAGTTGTAAGTTCGTTTGACCGGCTGGCTTATTAATACATACAGTGCAGCATATCTTAGCGCCGGAAATTCAAATTCAGTTCAACTTCAACCCAAGCTTGAGATTGGATATATCTTCAAAAACCACCAAAACACCGCTCACAACTGTCATACGAATGGAATATGTTGTCATTTTTGCGCATTCTTGTTTTTCGGAATCACAGGGTACCACCGCAAATGCCTTACAAGAAACCCCGCTCAGATTTGCATTTTAAATGCCCAAGGGACTTACGTGGGAACGATAAGATCAATTCGTAATCTTCCGCAAAAGTGGGCGCCATCTGGGGTTTGATGCTGATTCACGTAAGTTCCAGGGGTCTTTCAGCGCGCAAATTCTGGATTGATTGGATATTTTGTTTTCGATCCTTGTCGTCATCCTGAGTTATGGACCTTGGACTCAGCTTGTATGACTTCTTGTTCTGTTCCTGTGAGATAAGCATGCAGTGCAACTACCACACCATTCTCTACAAACTTTCAGCATGTTCTCTACAGTTCCGTTCGTTGCAATTCTCGATGAAAAGCCTCGTTATTCCTGAAGCCTGCCATAGCAATAATTATATCTAATGGATCCTGTAACTGTTCTTGGTGTCGCAGCATCGGCCCTGCAGGTTGCTCAATTTATCGGGTCGACGATTCAAGGCCTCCATACCCTGAGGGGAAAGTTTAGAGATGCAGATACAACAATCCGCCTTCTAATCAGTAAGCTATCTACAATTAGAGCTGCTGTTTTCCAAATAAGAGATTGGGCCGAGTTCAATTCGCATGATTCCCCAAAGGAAAGACAGTTCATGGATGGACTTCATGTCGCTCTCGATGGATGCCAGGCTGCAATTGATGTACTTTCCGAAGAAATCAAGGACCTCACGGTAACTACTAAAGACTCAAGTGTTGAAATGCCAATCATACTTGGGATGAGAGGGAGGGTGGCAGCATTATGGAGTGAAGATACTATGAAGGCTCATGAAGATAGATTACACGGCCAAGTCCAGGCATTGCAGCTTCTACTTATGGCAGGACAATGGTAAGGCATTTATTATCGAGGTCTTACTATTGGCTAACGTGAAGTGACAACTAGTCGAGATGCAGGAACCCAAAAGTCGCTTTTGGCACTCAAAGAAAACCGAAGATTGATACAAAAGGTTGCCGACGATACCAAATCACTACGCGAAACACAGAGCTCCACAGCATCACAGATCTCAAGAAGCGCACGTCAATCTATATTTGGGAGTAGTCTTGGAGGATCAGTCTTTGAATTTGAGCGCACACTACAACAGTCTCACCCATATAATAATATAAATTCAATGTCCGAAACTCGAGATATCGCACGAACAAACAATCAGCTACCCAACATTATTCACCAGAAGCCAGCCACAGACAAAACCTCTAGTGCTGATGAAGGTTATGAAACAGGAATCACTCAATCCGAACCCCGATCTCCAGCATCATCAAATCACTGCCTTAGTATGGACACACGACCTTTCCTCGGTCAGACAAAACTGTTGCCGGAATTCAACAATTTTGACATATATCGTAGTCGCAGCGTTACTTCAAATTCCACCAAATTAGAACCTATGGTAAAACGATGGCTTTCCTCGTCCTCCTCATCCGGAGAATCATTAAAGCAGGAAGATAAACTCAATGGTCTTCGGAAGAAAAGATTCTGGCCTAGTAGACTTGGGAAAATTAATACTCTCAGTGCTACCAGTCTATTAACTAGTCCTGACCGAGCAAAGTCCGCCGGCCCGCATTTCCCAACCGCTAATAGATTGAAACGGGGACAAGACGTGAATTTTAATCAAAGCATTGATTTTGGCTCACTAACCGGACTTCAGACGCCTGCTATAGTGAGGGCAGCCCAGGCAGGATCTGGTGTGGAGATACAAGCTCTTTTGTCGAACGGCAACGATATAGAGGCTTTTCACGATGCAACCCAAAGGACGGCTCTCGCAGTCGCTTCCCATTGTGGTAATGCTGGATTGGTTGATCTCTTGCTTGAATGCAATGCAGATTTGACTACCCGAGACGTCAATTTAGATACCCCACTACACTTGGCAGCATCTCGAGATCACTACTCGACACTAAAAATGCTACTTGACGAAGATGTTGATATAGAAGTCAAAAACAAAGATGGATGGTCTCCACTCTGGGCGGCTGCATATGGTGGGCATGTCAAATCTGTCGATATATTGGCAAAAAGGGGTGCAAAAATCAACTCGAGATCTAATGATCAATGCACGGCTCTGCACGCAGCAGCGAAGCGGGGAGACAAGCAAATGGCGGAGCTGCTAGTTCGTAACGGCGCCGACATCGAGGCCAGAGATAACCAATTTATGACTGCATTGCATTATGCTTGTGAGTATGGACACCAAAATATGGTTGACTACTTATTCCAAAAAGGCGCCAACCTTGAGGTCCCAGGCAATGTTTCTAGGTCCCCACTTCTTTGCGCATCTGCAACCGGCCAATTAGAAGTGGTGGAGTTTCTATCGAAAAGAAAAGTTAATCCGAAGAGCATGGATGAAAAGGGGGCTAATGCTCTACACTGTGCCGCTCGGAACGGCCATGTTGAAGTCGTGAAATACTTGCTTGATTGGAAATTGCCGATATATGAAGGTGACATTGCTGGCTTGACACCGCTTCATCTTGCTGTCATCGGCCAACACTTCGGCGTTGTCGAATTGTTACTACGAAGAAAAGCTGCTTTAGACCGTCGATGCAGAGAAGGCCGAACACCATTGCATTATGCCTGTGGGTCCGATAGCCCAGACATAGTCAGTTTATTGCTCAGTGCTGGGGCTTATGCCGAGGAGGAAACCAAGGGTGACAATCGACGGCCAATTCACATTGCTGCTGCAAAAGGATCTGTGCGTATCGTCGAAGTACTTAATGGGAAAGGAATCGCAATTGATCAGCGGGACTCGGGGGGCAATCGGGCACTTTGCATTGCGTGTCATCACGGGCATGTCCAAATTGTGGAGAAATTATTATCGTACAACGAACCTCTAAGGATGCGATTCCGCGATCGACCAAATAAAGATTCGCCTTTGTGCATTGCTGCCAAAGCCGGCCATCTCGATGTTGTCAAACTGCTCTTGAATAAGGGCGCATCTGTCAAGGAACGTGATGAGTTTGGCTATATTCCCTTACGATATGCTGCCTACTATGGGCACCCGGAAGTCCTAGAGCTACTCATGGAAGCAGGTGCCGAACTTTATGATGAAGGAGAGGACTCACATGGCTGGGGATTCTTGTTAAAGCCTGCAACAATTGGATTTTCTGATACCACTGATATATCAGAAGATCGTAAACATCACGTTCGCAAACTACTTGATGAGATGGAAAGGCGTCATCATGAAAGAGATGACATCAAAGACAATAAACACCAGTCTAGCAGCGTAGCAGAGCTCGGTCGCGGACAGAGGAATGACATTTACCGAAATAATACATTGGATTTGCGACAAGAACTTGTGGGGTCTGTATTGAGGACTGAACTACCAACTGAGCGAGGCGTAACAGATATCCAACCTCAAAAGTCGTCTGACTTATCGCCAAGCTCTTTTCTCTCCCCACGTCAAGATCGCAGAGGCATTGGAAGGGGTGAGGCCAAACTTGAAGTATCTCCGCTTATGACTATATCTACAGATGCGACCACACCTGAAGTCAAAGGTCCCATCGATGTTTCACAAAACCCATCAACGATCTTCGATTCGCACCTGATAGTGTCGAGAGATATCGCGGCGCTTATTGCAGAAAGACAAGCAGAAATTCAGCAATTGCAGCAATATCTTTCATCTAATCAAAGTACGACTGAGACAAGCTTAAGCTCCGAAAATTCACCTCAGGTTTATGAGATGTCCGCGGATTGAGATATGTTTGGTGTTTCAATGACTTTGTACAGCAAACCTCTCCATGGCTATTCTTTTGAACGCCAAAATAAGAATATCTGAGAGTATCCTTGTATGGAGGTCCGGAACTTGTTTTGATCGGGTTGGGTAGTGTCGAGAGGGATTGGTCACGTGTAGCGCTCACTTATGTTAAGGTCCGATGCTACCCGGTTAAGGATTCCTATCTTTTCCGATTCTACCCTTTTCAAAATGACGAACTGCGAAGGGTTTGAGGCCGAATGACTTCAGAATAATCCTCAAAAGACAGGATTTAAGGATGAAATCACCAGAATATCCAATGGGAACGAGGAAACAATTCTTGAAGAGAGAGGTTATCCTTATATCCGGTTAGAGGTTCTGCTGTATTACACCAATACGGCCGAAGGAATTAGATATAGTAATTAGCATAAAAGATTTTAGCAGTACCAGATAACATCCATTGCTTTGTCGGATGCTGTCATTAAAGAAACATAGGTCTGACGAAGGTCCCTGCATAAGAAACTCGAGAGCGGAATTAGCATACCGAAATGCATAGGTGTCGTGATTCCTTCTAGGATGACTTTTGACCCGCAGTGGAACTAGAAATCACGCAGAATCAGGATCCGGCGACTTTTCATTTCTAACACAACTGCATTTGCATTTCTAGCATAAACTCGGTCGTTTCCGGGAACAGCCCATATTCATCATTCTTCGATTTGGGCCTGCTGGACTCATATAGGACGGAATGATTTGCAAGTTTCAATATCTTTATCTATGAGTACCGACAGGAAGAACTTTGTTTATGTACTATGTAACCAGCCGCCTTTCCATGAATTATCGGAAGTTATCTTTCCAAGGGTTGAGATCTGACACGTTTTTCTTTTGGTCTGATTCGTGTAGACCCTGGCAATCCACTGAATGGGTCAGCCGTTTTCGAAATGGCATGATTTATCGTCTCATAATTTTCCGGGCAACGTTCAAATAAGCAAAATTCATACGATTTCAATATCTCAAGTACCTTAGTCAAACATCTGCATCTTTTGTTTTGATAATGCTACAACTTATATGGGGGTCGTGATGCAATATCATATTATATGTATGATATTACGGGATGATGTTAAACAGGGCACTCGGTAGTTAAGCAGATCCATACTCAAGGCGACGCATATGCATGCGATAGTTGTCACTTTTTCTTAATACATCTTCTCCTCAAAGATCTTCCATCAAGCTTCTTCCGCTTTCTTTCAAACTTTTCCTACAACCTCATCACATTCCGATTATCGACAATGGCCATGCCTGAGAGAAGCGCGCCCCTTAGAGTCATCATCATTGGCGGTGGACTCAGTGGCTTAACGTTAGGACAGCTTCTTGCAGATGTACCGAGTATCAGAGTGACGCTCTATGAGCGTAGTAGAGGCCCGGTCGACAGGCTCTCTGGATATCGTGTTATGTTATCTTCTTTCGTTCTTCGAAATCTCAAAGGAAAGCTTCAACACGATGTGTGGCAGGAGATTGCGCCCAGTATTGGTATCCAACCGGGTGGAGGTCAAGAGATGAAATTTGTGAAAAGCAATGGCGACCCAATATTCACATGGTTACCGGAGGAGATACAAGATCAATTCTCGGTGTCGCGTTGGCGCCTCCGAGAAGGACTTTTGCATTGGAGCGAATCCTTCGCGCGATTCGGGAAGAAGTTCGACAGATATGAGAAATTGCAAAATGGAATAGTGAGAGTTCACTTCACGGATGGATCAATAGATGAATGTGATTTATTGGTTGGCGCCGACGGTCTAAATTCTAGAGTGAGGAAACAAATGTTTCCGCTGTCCCGGATACGACCTATGGATGTTGCGGTGATCTACTTCAAGATCCCATTAACGAAGGAAACATTCGAATTAGCGGGTTCGCATAGCGGAGTTATGGTAAGGTGTTCACAAGTTTCCAAAAATCGCGTTCTTGGACAATATTGACTGAATGGTAGGCCTTTTGTCCTGGAAACCAGAATATATTGGTACATTCTTGGCAGAATCCAATGAAACCTTGGGCAACAGAATTTACAACAGAAGAAACTGATCCTTCCGAATCATTTATTATGTATGGTTATGGCAGTCCCGCAAGTGCCTTCATTAACAAAACCAAACGACCGGAGGAATTATCACCGGCAGAATTGAAGACTGAGATAATTACTCGTTCAAAAACAGACCGAAACATACATCCCAACTTTTTACGATTAGCTGAGATGTGCTTGACAAATACGGCGTATCTACACATGGTCAAGAAATGTGATTCGGTAAAGCCATGGGACTCAACTAGTGTGACGTTAATAGGAGATGCAGTTTTTAAGTAAGTCCTCTACATTTCGTTTGAAATACCGGGAACATGTGACTAACCTCTTACTCAAGTATCATGACCACCCTAGGGAAGGGAGCGAATTGTGCCCTTCTTGACGCCGTTTCTCTCGCCGAAACACTCTCACCACCCATTTCCCCACCCTCCACGTCACAAGGCAACAATTTCCAGCTCACCTCAGATGATAACCCTCAATCGTCGCGCAAATTTGTAGGCACGATAGAACTTCGTCCTGCGCTCCGCACTTTTGCCGCGGAAAATGTTAAACGTCGCCATCGGGAACGACAAAGAAGTGCATTTCTCCAAAATCTCGTGTACTTTGGCGACAACAAATTCAAAGAATATTGCCGCGAAAGAGTGCTCAAAAATGCTCTAGGATGGGTTACTGGAACCAAGGGTATGAAGAAGGAACTATATGGTGCGAGGGGCGAGACGAGAGATGTGGGTGGTTTGTTATCCCCTAAATTTCCGACAAGTGAGGCCGACGGAAAACTTGATCACGCGGATGAGGAATCTATTATGGAAAGACAGAGTTTTTTGGAGAGAGGTTGGGGTTTAGTTAGAGCTGATGAATTGGACTCGGAGTGTGTGAGCGTGGCGTCGATATCGACGCGTGATTCGAAGAGTACGACGGCTTCTTCATCGGTGGTAAAGTCGAATGAGTGTTTGGCAAGGAACTGATGCTGGCAGGGCTAGGTGGAGTGTATTTGAATTGTGTTGTCTGGTTGTAGTATACATATACATATAAAGTTCAGTTATGGGGAATTCATAATAGAGAAGGAAGGATATCGGGATAGACTGGGGCGGAAAAAGCTCCACATGTTATTTTAGACGATTTGGACGGCCTTTTGTTGTACTATTATTATATTTTATTTACTCATCTACAATACATTACATTTAATTTTTCTCGTCTTAAAATACTAAAGTAACTAGCTGTGAGTACAAGCTAAAGGTACATGCAATGCACTCTTGGTTTTTCAATATACGATTGTTTCTTTTTCTGGTTGCGTGATCAGAGTCATGTTCCTAGTACCGCATGTTCGTATGTAGCGCAACGCAATGCAATGGAATGGAATAGGCGTTTGATTTTTTTTTCGTACAGTATCTAATGATTATCATGGCAATTATGAAAGATTGTGTACATAGACGAGAAGTAATCATTAACAAATGCTCCGTCGATCTGGTCTAGTCTGGTGTGGACATAAATGCGGTTTGCGATTTGCAGCGTTTGCGGAGAGGATTATCTGCTGAGAGATAATCACTATGACACTATCTGCTCTGTTTTTCGGTCTGGAGGTACTGTGCTTGTGCAAACTTGTTGTGATATGATATGATATGATATGATGTCACGATGTTGGGGTTTTGATTGGCTTGTATCATGGAATTCGATGAATGTAGTGGGATTCATGGGATTGGGAATGTGGTATACTTATATGGGATTCTAGCCCATGGGATATGGGTATATGTGGGTATATATGGTATATAAATCTTGATCAATGGCAGTGGCGCAGTGCTGTGATTTGAAGAGGAAGAGTATAGTATACGTACCCCAATGCATATGAAGGGAACGACGGTACAGAACAAGATACAAAGGTGGAAAGATGGATCCCAAGCCGTACCGAATCAAGAGCTTAGACATATGTGTGAGTGCGCGATGGTGCTATACGGTCGTTAAAATTAGCTATAGGGAGGCTGTATGGAGAGTTGAAGATAATGGTACCAATTGTCGCCGGAACTTTTGATTCGTCTTCTTCGTGACAACTTATTATCATCGTTTACTAAGGTTTGAGTTTTGATATCTGGTTTGTCACGTTGAGAATCTGGCTTTTTTTTTCATCTCACGATCATTCGATCATCAAGCGCTCTCTACTCATCAAAAGTTTCATCATCAAAGTAATTTTCTTGTCAAGTAGAATGACACCATCCCTTTCACCCTCTTCACTACCTTCACCACCTAGTGCACCTCGTGCTCAGCGCTTCAGAGATGCGATTGAGTTTTCTACCAGAACCGAAAATGCAATTAAAGCTGCGAACCAAAGATATCGCGATGGTATCGTTAGATTCGTGGTCGCAGACTGGGAGAGAAAGATTGGCACCCAAATTAACCAGCATCCAGATGTCGAAGCGGCACCTTCAGATGAGAGAGGAGCTTCACATAACGATAATGTAAAGTCTTCAAGTGTTGTCACAACTACAATCAAGACTTCCGAGTCGACTCGCGATGTTTCAAATAAGAGAACTCGGGCTTATCATCCTGGGGATTCGGTTGGTGGAAATGATGATGGCTTCGTTAAATCCAGCAAGGCTGCTAAGGAAAAAGAGAAAGCTTTCTAGTCGTAAGGAAGTTACCGTGGGAATAGGACACAATGTTGGCTGGGTTCAGGGTTATGTTTTTGGTTTTACTTGCGGTTTTTTGGTTGGCGCGAAGGAAAGTTTACAGTGGCTAAAGTAAATGGCTAGAGGACGTAATATAGTCATTTTGATATCACATTCGTCGGAGACTCATGGTCTTGATTAGGCAGGGTGAAGCTGTAGGCTTTGCTCCTGATTCTTTTTCGGAATCAAGAGGTTTATATCCGGAGCGCTGAGCTACTCTTCGGGCTATTGGGAAGTGTTAAGGTAATCTCTTTACTTGTGAGCTGTGAATCAATAGGCTCTCTAGCGTATAAAGCGTGGATTAGATACCTGAATCTATTCTCTATCTCCTATATTGTGTGACTATCTACAAATTGTGATTGTGCCTGTATTTTATTATCATCTCATTACCATTCGATGTCTGAATTAGACTAAAGAGGGATTAATTTGTATATAAGCTTCTAGAATAATAAGACTTCTCGAACCACGACGCCCTTATACACACCTGGCGTCTATCTCGAGTCCTTGATACTCCTCTGCATATATCTACTGTAGTACTGGCGTACGGCTCATCGTATATTACTACAGTAGTGTTATGAATACAATATCAAGGAAACCGGACAGCTACTACTACCTTATTTTGCTAGTGCGGTCAATACGGCAGGAAACGCTTTTCGAGTTTAAGGCCGTACGCAGAGGAAAATAAAAGAACTCTCCATGCCAGTCTCAATCGCAAAAAAAACATCATCCGTCAACACGAAGATCAAGACTTAAAAACTTCCTTCAACACTCTCAAACACCAAAACAATCACAACACTCCATCGATCACTTATCGAGATAATTCAAACTTCCATACATATCTTCATCTTCCATCTGTAAAAATGCCTTCTTCATCCAACTCTTCGGGTACACAGCGCCCAAGCAAATTTAAAGAGCACATCAACGATGAAACGCAAGATAAAATCGACGAGGCAACCTTTCTCGTAGAGAAAAAGGAGCGAGAGGCCTTGGTCAAGAGATTAATAAGACAGTAGCAGCAGAAGTATCCGAAACAATGGAAAAGGCTGGACTGGGAAGCTCGGGGGAAAGATGAAAACGAAGAGTACTGCGATGAGGATGTTGAAGACGACGCCCAAAGTATCCATGTTAGTTGGCATGAAAATACCACAACGGGATCTAGCAAAAATGGAGGCAGAAATGGGGAACGCCCTAAATCTCCCATATTGAAGACTCGAAAAGTCAAAGTGGCGCAACGCCTTGCTGTTGCAAAAAAGATGTTGTGTTTCGGCTCGGTCACTCCTGAGGAGGAAGATTTTGGTGAGGAATGAGAAAAGTCGGTGAGGAGAGAGTAGGCTTTCTGGGGAAATATTGAGGCGGTTAAATGTGCGGAAGACATACTGGGAGAAAACCAACTCTCTCCTCCGTTGAGTTGTTGAACTAGAGATAATGGCAGGGGCTCGGGTGTACGGATATGTGGGGAAGCTATTGCAGTCGCTACACGTTTTGATTGGCGGGTTTGGCGAACTTCATTTACATCATGGTAGACAGGATATAATAATCTTTTTGGGTTGAGGGTCAGGGTTGAGGAGAGTTTTCAATTATGTATTTTGATTCTTTCAGGGCATGCTCGATTGCTGCGGGTTCTTGTTTGAGGATGTAGAATACAAAAAGCACTTTTCTTTTTACCTGTGATAGATGGGGCAAAAACTCCAAAAAACTATTCTTACTCTTAAGATTCAATTCTGCTGTAAAACTTTAATGTGATGATAAATTTATCTGCACAGCTTGATGAAGTACCTATTTGAACTTATCCATTCTTTGTGCGTTTTTCTTCATCATCTTTGTTACACGCAGCAAGTTCGGGAAAGGATTAGGTCTAGTTCTTGAGACAGAACTTTGTCATGAAATTTTGTTACTCGAATTATCCGAGTAACAAAATTTCGGATATTACATCTCTAATTCTTCATAGCCAATCTAAACTTTTATGCTAGACAACTAGCCCTATATACAAGAAAATATCTAACTTCAGTTCTCCGAATCCTATGTGATGATTCACCCATACAATTCAACGAAGGAAATCTTTCAGCCATGCTATGTCGTCCCGGTACGGTCATGTCACGGGATCTAGTTTGTACCATATGATGCTTTATTTATGCCGGTTGATTCTCGAGTAGAGCGCATCCAAAAGAAAATAAAATCTTCCATTTCCCCATTCCAAGAGCGATCATCTGTCTACTCGAACACTGATCTTTACGAAATCCAGACAAGTTTCGAAATAGCGACTCACTCACGACTACGATCATATCTCATCATAGCGACCTGCCTATCACTACGACAATGTCAAAACAACTCAATAACTAGATCGTTTCTCGACATGTCTACCTCGTCGCGATTTGATGCACCCCGCCGAGTTCAATTTGGAGCCTCAATCACCAATACGCCCCGTGAAGACACTAAAGCCATTCGTAATCCTGCAAACGAACAATATTATCATCGCATGGTCGAACTTGAAAAGAGAATATGGACCAAGGCAAATGTAAAAACGCAGATTGAGGCAGATGTATCGGATAAAGAGCCACAAGTTGTGCAACACCGAGTTAGATTCGGAAATTGCTTCACAAATCCTCCTTGCAAAGACCTCAAGGAACCCAAAGTTGCCAAGCGCAATGCGAATAAACAATACTATGATCGTATGGTGAGACTTGAGGCGAAAATGTGGCTCGAAGGCAAGGATCAAGCAGAGAGTGAGACGGACGAATGGAGTGAAGGGAATTCACCTGTCGGCACCAGGTATGATACACTCCGAAGTAGGCCGAAAACCAGTATAGATGAGAAATACAGTGCTCACGCTGCGGAACTTGCTGATATTTCGATCCAGTTTAGCAAAATTCATATTGAGATCACTCAAGATACAACCAAGTAGAACAATAGCTTGGGAGTGAAAAACTGGAGCGCGGATGACGACAGTTTTGTCAAAATGAGCAAGTTCTTACGAGGGGAGGAAAAGAACTTTTGGTCGTAGGGATGGGGTATCATGATGTGATATGACAGCATGATAACTTCATATAGATCAGAAAAGTGAGATATATGAATCGATAATGTTTTACAAGTGGGTAATAACACTGAGGATTGCGACTACCATTTGAATCGTGAGAATTTGACAAAATATTGAGGCATAAATTTCTACACAGTAATTATGGGTCTATTGATGTCTAAAGGGCCCAAATCCAAACTTTATTTAACCGTTTAATATATTCAAAGAGACAGATACCGAGGTCTTTCTGTGCATGCCTGTACCACAATATAATGATGAATATGCGGCGACTTTCAGGTTGCTAGATGTCCGACCATTGTTATTTTCAGCCGCTAATGAAGCAATGACAATCCTATGACAGACTATATGGACCTATAGTACCTGGCAGTTGCATTACACAAGACCAATATCTGTTTCAAGGATCCTTGATATGTGAACTAAGACACTCCATGCCTTCGTGCGTATATACAAGGTTGTCAAGTTAGATTACGATCACTGACCAAATCAGCTTTTATTAATGTTAGCCAAAAGGCAGGAAAGTAGAGTAGACTAATTATTGGATCTAGGGAAAAGAACTCTATCTATACTAATTAAGAGAGGGGTACAGGGGGTAAAACGGCATTGGCGTCAGTCATATTCAACAACTTTCTAGGCAAACTTTCTTCTCATTTTTGCCATCACTCTATATATTTTTCAATCAGCAGAAGTCGAAGCCTTTCGATCTTATGCAGCTCAGTAGCATAGCTCCAGGATACTATGTGCAAAATAACTACTCGAGTACATAAATGAAACTTTAGGTGAGGCATTTCGCTTAGTGTCACGCTTCCGTACAGGAATTATTTTACCATTCATCTAAACCGATGAGCCGTAATAAACGATAAATCTACCTGTACTTGTGTTATAGTACGGCATATCTAGTTCTTCCGCGATACTAGAAGCGCGTTTTACATTTTCACATTTGGGACTGGAGCTAAAAGAAAATAAAACCATCTATCCTGCCCATCTCAACTGTGAAACAAAACATCCACTCCCGACCTGAGCGCCAATCATAACAAGACCCAATACGAGAAAGACTACTATCGCATCTGCGATCCGAAAAAATCCGCAGAGACAACCTTATATTCATCATAACCAGTGTAACAAAACCAAAACGACTACCGGTACTTATATCCATTCATCACCAGACACGCCACATCCACCACACTTTCGAGAAGATATCATTGCAAGACATCTCTATTCTGTGGCCGAAAGATATATCCGAAGTACAGCAGAGATACCGCGATTCTGTGTCAAAGTCGGCGATGAAGGACTTCAAGGAAGAACACCCGGCTGCAGCTAAGAGACTTGGCACGGTAGATGCGGGCAATATTACGAAGGGAGACATTGCAAATGGTATCGCAGAACTCTCGATATCTTCCATCAAAACGGTAAAGACAGTTCAGATCGACCATCATGCCGTCAACTCTTCCGATAACGGCAATGGGGATGGAAGACCCAGCGAACAGCGACCTGATACTGTTTCTGCCAACAATAGTCAGCTTGTGATAATCAGTCAGAAAGTCCAGAATGAGGAGGATACCTTCTGTAGAGCTCCATGATGCAGAATGATAGGACTGCATAGTGAGATTTTTGCCGTTTTTGTTGTGTGCTCTGTCTAATGCAGGGTTGATGCAATTTCCAGTTGTCGTGGTCATAGGAGTGGTATAGAGAGGAAGAAGTTATGGTCATTGCAGGTACTAGCGCATCATGATGGTTTGGTCTGAGATGACGGTGGGACTTCAAATAATCAATGTGTATAGTTATACATCGAGGGTATAGACTTATGATAAACCTACTACTACGCGCGACCTGATTTTATATGTGTAGCCTATCGCAGGAACAAGGCATGCTAAACAATGAATCTGCACATATAATCATAGCAAAAATGTAAATACTAGATATTAGAACTTTATAAACTTAAATCTACACAGGAAGTATGGTATCGAAACTCATGTGAGCTGCGCCAAAGCATCATAATCATGGTAAATAGAGGAGGCATATCAAAGCTCGTTAAAGACTGTTGGAAGGCTAACAGTGTTGAGGTTACGGTATGAAGTATGCAGTAGATATCTTATCAATAGTGTGTATAGGTAGGTATAGGTATATATAGGTAGGAATATGTGTGTGTAAGTAGGTGTAGGTTAGGCCATATGAAGAGATTTTATATGGTCCACCTACAGTTATATGCTGACTCATCAATATCCCAAGAAACAGGAAGCGAAAACATGACGTAAGACCCTCCTAGTAGTCTAGATTGACAAACATCTTTTGACAAGAGGGTTGTGTGGAGATGAGCGCAAGTACTCCTCCATTAAAGGCACCTAAAACACAGAAAATCAAGATATATCCTAGAATGAAGAGTATGCAAGGTTGCTGATACAGTTCTTACAGCCAAGATATTGGCTGAGCTTGCGGTAATGTGTTTCGAACAGCTTTACTTGAACTATGAGTGTCATATTATACATGGAGATTTTTCAACAGTCTACAATATGATTACGAGGTCTCACTACCGTTTTTTTCCCCATCGAACCAAAGTTACCATCAGATTACAGTAGTAATACGTGAACTCTTGTACAAATATCATTCATCAACCTTTAGCATCTCATCTGCACATTTCATGCTACCTGTTTCCGGAAGAATTAGAACAAATGATGAAAAACCAGCCAGTGTATTCAATATTCCAAAAAAATCTTAGGTAATCTATTCAAAAGAAAAATTATCTAGTTTATACAATTCGGATTAGATATACTAAAGAATATTACGTTTTTAATACAAAAGAATTTATTTTATTTATAAAAAAATCATATGTCAAAGTTTAAACTATGACATCAGAGGTATAATTGGTCTGAACATTTATCTTAGTCCAGACTAGTATTCTAAATATCTTTGACTAGCTGGACTATTGGATTCACTGAAACCAGCACTAGGCGGTACGGTTGGATCGACTACAGTCGCCCCCTCTCATCATCATGGCGTCGCTACCATGACCGCAGCTAGTGCGGCCGTAGCAGGACTGACTATATTATAACACAAATTATTATCCAAGACTTCAACCCCTAAGAACTTACATCATAATCTCAACATCGACGATTTTTAATCAAGTTGATATCAGTCTCCTAGTCTTACTAAACATCATCACCCACTAAATTAACCCATAAAGATCTTTGAAACATCGAGTCGTCAATATGTCTGGAATGATAGCAGCCCAGACTATTGGTTGCAAAAAGGGTCGGTCGCTAGCGGAAATTGCAGAGAACAGCCACATATACTTCCAAAGCGCGCCGAAAACAGTTCCCAAACCACCTCAGACACCTCCGATGATCACTTTTAAAAGAAACAAACTGCCTAAAGAGTGGACTAGAGAGACTGGCCTCTCGGTCGCGTCGTATAATAAGTATGCGAATCTTGGTGTGAATTCTTCCGATACAAACACTTCAGCGCGCACCAGTCACACTTTCGGACCTTACAATCCAAATGCACGATTTTGGACCATTCTTGCCACCTCCAAACGAAACCGATCAGTTACAAGATCCATGAAAATATTTGAGGGAGTTCAACAAGCGGAGAAAGGAAACGAAAATTTGGAGAGAGGCTCTGCCCAAGAAGAAGGCAGTAAAACCGACGTCATTGGTGGTCTATTTCTAGACGGCACATTCGGTAGAACTAGACTTCAAGGCGAGAAAGCAAATGTCTGATCGTTGGGAACTACAAAAGCTATTTATCACTTTTTCGTCCACGGTTCTGTTGATACTGAGAAATATGCATCTAGCAACTAGTCAGAGAGTTATTTATGGCAAAATAATTCGAAGTGCAATTCATTCATAATTTTATCAAAAATACAATTTTATATATAAACAACCTTATGCTCTATTAACTATGACTGCAAAATTTCTTTTGTGCGGTAATAGCACTGTCAGATCATTTTTATAGAGACGTTAACAATGGTTCCAATTAAAATTAATGAGTAAAACACAAAGCTAGGTAGGAAGATGCATAGTGGAAGTTAAGACCTTGAACTATGCCCATATATATCTGTGTTGTCGGACTACCCTTTATAATTACTATCTGAATAATATTGTGTAGATGAGCGTTGTGTTTGAGGAGGTACTATCGTCAAGAAGTCCGCAAAATGGGCAATGAGTTCGTAGCGGCAAAATTGATGGTTATAAAGATTCCTAGATTTGAGCTTGAGAGTTTCTTGTATCTTCCAAATCCCTCTTGATGATTTTTATTACTAATTGTAGATTTATGGTCAGAATTTGACTTTGACCTAAAAGTAGTACTATCATGGCCGTGGAACTCGCATGAGTCTGGGGTAAGGGCTCCTTTGGATGCAAGAATCTGGCCTATAATCCTGATTCTCCCGCTCTTTAATCCGGGAGTTCAACGATGGCACCTTTGGATGCAAATGCCGGATTCCGATATTGACAGCCAAGGGATAAAACAGATCCGGATTATTCTACATTATTCCTGTCAAATTTAACTTTTCCGGAATCCGGCTTTATAAAAAGAGCCGGGTAAAAGAAGGTCAAAGGGCGGATTTTTGCTGCTGGGAAATATTTGACTACTGCTAGACTGAGACCTCTCAGTAGCTATCGAAAATTTCGGGGGAAAGTGATATACAAAAGAGGGCAGAGTACTGATTTAGAGAGACGAGGATTAAAATTGCAAGACTTGGAAAGTTGCGCAGAAAATCTAAATATTTCTTCTAGTGTCAGTATCAATGAATTTCCAATATCCCCGGGAGAGATCGCCTTAACCGTACACAATTCATGATCGTGACCATAGCTGTAGACTAGAATTAATGGAGCGTCAGTGTATTACCCTGGGATATTTGAGTTTTATAAACTCTCATTTCGTGGTTGTAGTCGACGACTAGTATCACTGTATGATTTTGTATATATCTATCTCGCTACACTTCCTGCCTACCCCACAGAGTTCTACTGTATCTGATACAGGGCGGTCTAATTCAGACACAGATACAGTGACTAACTTGGCAAATTTGGTAAGCTGTCCGTACGGCCAATCGGGTCATGCTTTTCGTTGTTTAATCTCGCGACCGTGACCGTATTCATTCCTTGAGCCTATATCAACACAACACTTCTTTTGGGCCACTGGTAGGATTCATCTTACTTACATCCTCATCACCTACAACTTAACACAATTCATCAAGCCTTCAAATTATACAACATACCATCCTCAACTTCCTCAACATTCTGGAAAAGGACGGCAGTATGTTGCCTAGCATGAGCACTAGTCAGACGTCTTCCAATGTCAAGGGGGGTGAGAACAATAACAACACCCGAAAGGATGTCTTTTGCACACCACCTCCGTCATATCTATCATCTCCACCGGGATCGCCTTGTCCACAAACAATTACGCGCGCCGAGAGGATGATGATGAACAACAGCCCCCTAGCCGCCCAAAGTCTCCGGAACAAGCAATCAAAGATTTCGAAATGACATACTACCACACAGACTTCAACCTTACATGCTACTAGTTGGGATCTTGACGACAGATATTGGAAGCTTATTTGCATGTCGAACCAACTGAACAGCGAGTATCGCGCGGCAGCTGCTTCCTCGTCTGCAGCTGCTCGTCTGAAGTATCGAATGGAAGAACTTCTACTGCATCTTCAGGCAGCCATGTCTACAAAGAAACATCTGATCCTCCTAAAGTTAAGGACGGAAACGGCTCGCAGATAGATAATGAATTTTGTAAGGCCAGCAAGCAACTCCAGAGGGAGGAGAAGGATTTCTGGTAAAGAATTTCCGGTGACGGAAACCTGATGGACTTTCGAAGACCACAATGCAGTCGCAAATGACAATTCAGTTCATCAATGCATTCTCTTTTGTATTTGCAGATAGTATCGTTGGGTCATTTGTCATTGTGCAAGCATCCCTTAAACTTGCGTCTCGGTTTTGTTGCCGGTAAGAATGATATTACTTTCGTTGGATCGAGCTGATATTCATAGCTCATCTTAAATAATTCCGAAGAACAAGAGCCGGCACTGAATTGGCTACAAAAGTAACAGAGGCTGTCCAACAATTCACGTCCTTCAACTGGGATTATTTGAATATCCCAGAACCAAAAAATGAAAAGCAACTGAAGGAATCTATCGTGACGTTGTACTGGAAAATACTTGGGTATGATGCAAACGCGATCAATCATTTCAGCAGACACACAATTTGTAGATTGATCCTCTTGTGACAAGGCTAAGTCGTTAAACAGCAAGATATGCTGCATCGCATCAGCTATCAGGAAAGATGATTGGAAAAGGGCTGCTAAACGATGTCGAGGATTACAGAAAGATATTCATTCAAATATGAACTGCTAGAGCGATCAAGGACCGGACCAAACCTGAGATCTAAAGAAGAAGACATTGAATGCAACGACGAGCTAGCCAAACGAGAGATCATAGGTCGGACAGTCCTTATTCTCGTGAATTTCGCAGGCGGAATGTGGGTTTATTATATCCTGGTGACATAGCTAAAATTACTGACTGAGTATCAGGTTCAGATGGTAAACTTTCAGCTCGCAATTATGTTTCCGATCGAGACTCAAACATTTTTGCCCGAAAACCTTGAGATTCAACTGCTGAATTTAGAAAATCGGAGTCTTTCTTTAGAGCAATTCCTAAAGGATGCATGAGACGGTCTATACAATGAAAACGAAACTAGGGGCTTTTAATGCCAGCATTATAAGGCACTCTACAAGTGGCTACTGTGCTGCAAGACGTTATTGCATACAGAGGATACCCTCAGACTAATCGAGTTTTCGCTTGATCATGATGCTAAATTTCAAAAATAGCTCGAAGCCCTTTGAGTACAGATTAGTTCTATAGGTAAGGCGGAATTTATGTTTTTGCAAGACAAACACTAACTTATCGTCAAATAATGCAATAGCAACTTCGTTATACAAAGCACAGAAGACATTTTTCGATTCGTCCATTGATCTGTCAAAGAATGCCTTATTAGTCACTGTGGAATTAGAGCGGAGTTCCAGCCCGAAGAGTGTCAATTCTTCCGAATTTCTTCGTAATGAAGATGAGATCAGTTCTGATCCCTTCCAAAAGAATCCAAGCACCCTCACGAAAAGACGGATTAAATTGGAGAGAGTCTACACATAGATTAAGAAAGCTTTTACCGCGAGAGCCTCTTTCTGCGCCATTTGATCCCGTCCTCCGTCCTTCGTCCCCCATCTCCTAATCTACTTGGTGTTCCCGACCACATCCACCAACTCGGCCTTAATCTTCCTCTTACCCGTACTCTCCTCCTTAACATCACTAATTCTCACCATCACCTTTCCAAACAACTCCACTCTAGCTTCTCTACTCCCCTTCGTCTGCAACACATAGTTCTCAGCATCAAAGTCACCCTCTGGTTCAGGTTCCGCGAGATCTCTCAAGCGAATAAGTGACTCGATACCGAATCTCGGTACAAAGACCACAAATCCATTGCTGAAAACTTTCATTACGAAACCTTCTTCCTCAACGATGCGACCCTTCAGTGCTTGACCAACGTAATATTCGATGGAAGCACGGCCTGCTTGTTGTGCGTTACGGTGACGGACGTTGATGTTCTTGCAAACACCTTCGAGCTTTCCCTTACTGCGAACACTGGCAGCAAGAGGTTCATAGTCAATCGCGGCAGCAAGTTGACGATGAGCGACGAGATCGGCATAACGACGAATAGGTGATGTGAAATGAGTGTAAATTTCGGATGCTAGACCGTAATGGCGGAACTCGGGGTAAGCTTGTGTACCAGAGCAGAAATATTCTGCAGACATCATGCAACGAGTTGCCATAATACGGACGAGGGTATTGAAGAAGGGTTCGGTAGGATCAACACATCCATCGAGGGTATCGGCAAGTTCTCTCGATGAACCAACGCGTAGCTCGAGACCACGTTTGATTTTGAGTTGATTGGCGAGTTCTTCAAAATTTGTTTTGGGAGGAGCAGCGTGGCGACGAAGCATGGCTGTTTGTGGGAAAGCGGAATAAATCTTGGCTGCTACGCTGGTATTGGCGAGAAGCATGAATTCTTCGACTAGCGACATAGTGTCAAGATGCTTTTTCTGCTTGATGTCTATTGGGTCTGAGGTCTCAGATTCCATCTCCACTCTAACTTCTGGTGACGAGAGACTCAATGCCCCAGCATCCATACGCTTTTGCTTGAATTTCTTCGATAGCATAAGGAGGGTACGAATGTTGGTAGTAAGGTCATCTTGTTGTGAAGCATCATCAACACGTATCTGAGCATCTTCATAACTGAATGCTTCTCGTGATTTGATGACAGATTTTGTGTATTCTGAATTTACAATCTCTGCATCCGGGGTAATTTCCCACAAACAAGAAAATGCATATCTCTCGACGTATGGCTTGAGGGAGCACAGATCCGTCCCAAGTAACATCGGTAACATGTCAATTCGCTTATCTACTAAATAAACGGTAGTACCTCGTATGCTTGCTTCGGCATCCATGGCATTATTTGGCTTGACGAAATGTGAGACATCCGCAATATGCACACCCACTTCGTAATTGCCATTGGGCAAAGGTCTCGCATGTAATGCGTCATCAATATCTTGACAGCCTATTGGATCGATACTGCAAATATTAAGATCGCGGAGGTCGCGTCTGTTTGTCCATCCAGGATCATCCACACTTGGAGGTACAATCCAATCATGACCTTCTGCCGGTAAACAATCTAAGACTGTTTTCGGAAATGGCCTATATTGTACATCATATTCCAAAAGGAGAGCCTCTGTCTCGGCACCTTTTGTTTCCAGTTCGCCGAGAGAACGAACAAAATGACCAACCGGATATCTAGAATCTCTATCCCAGGAGTCGATGGTGACTAAAACCCGCTTTCCTAGAATCTCACCCGCTTGTCGCGTTCTAACACGAATTTTTGGTATCCTCTTATCCATGGGAATAAGGAATACGGTTTGTTGCTTGCGTCCTAGTTTCACCGACTGACTGACAGATGATTCGTCCACATGACCAACATATTGTCTCCAATTGCGCTTTACGACACCAACTACTCTAGCAGTTGGCTGCGGGCGATTCTCCGTACCCTTGCTGTGGGTCTTCTTTACTTCTTCTTGCAGCGCACGTCTTTCCTTTTCAGTAACGACAGCTTCTCCCTCATCCGCATCGGCATTTTCATCTTTGTTTAGGGTCTCTTCTTCGATGATTTTTGTGGAAGGCTCCTTCCATTGGTCCTTTGGTAATATCTCAATGACCACAACATCACCCTGGATAGATCTATTAATGCTCTCTCTGCCAAGAACGAGTAACGATTTGTCGAAAGCTGGAACGTTTACAGAACCCTCCAGATAGTTGTATGGAGAAACATTAAAGATACCCTGATGTAACGTGCCGTTCTTGACACCAGTCATCATCTTTGATACCGAATAATATTCCTGGTATAGGTTTCCAGAAGTTCTGGCATCTCGTGCTTCCTTATCTTCCTTTGCAGCGCTAATCATATCCAATAACCGATCCGCATCCTCCAATCCACTAACATATTCCCGAAGGGAGCATGCTTGAATGCCATCTCGTTTTGCTTTGATAAGATTCTCCTTATCATCACTGAGCATTACCACAGCAGGTGTCTTCTTTGACCGTCCTCCTGCAGCATTTACTGCTTGTGTAATATGTTCGCCGTACCATTTAACCGCGCGTCGGACCGCTCTATCATTTCTATCATTTATACTTTCGCCAGTCTCTCTGACCACATAGGTCTCGAGACGAAAGTCGTTAAAGAAAACATAATATCGTTTGTCCTCGCTCTTCGTAAGCCCAATCAAACGATTGTAAAGCGGCAGTGATCGATTTCGCAACTCCTCAAGCACAGTCTGTAGTATGATGACATCGTAGAAGGCAGATGTCTGTTCGAAGAGATCGAGGGCGTTCAGTAATGCATTGGTATCGGGAACCAGGTAATGACCCTGAGTGTATGCTTTCGTTCCGGCAGGCTTTTCGGATAGAACAAAGGGTGACACTGCATCAAAGTGAGTCTTCTACCATGGGTAAATATACATGTATATTATCGAGACCAAACTTACCGACACCACTTGCATCTGGTGGCGCAGTTTTGAGGCAGCTGTCGCAGAGCTTGGATGAGCAGGGAATATCTTGTCGAAGATATAATTCACGAACAATCTTCTGAACTTTGCCACTTTTGGTAGATCGTACATAGACTTTACTTGATATATTAGATGAGTAGGGATCCGATCCCATAGATCGTTTGAGACTCGTCATATTTGCTGAATTGAGGTTTGTTCAGCAGCTTGCGACAGCTTGTGTGCAAATTTAGAAAATTAGACGCGATCAGCGCCTAACAGCGGCTACTAAAATCTTATCGGGAATTATGAAAGAGCGATAGCTTATCGCCCCACCACCTCCCCCTCCCCCTTTTCAAAATAGCAGATCTCATACAAGCTGAACATATCATAATTCCAAAATTTGATCTAAACATTATCACATTTATTCAATTGTTCCCTTCCTCCATTCTCAATTCACAAACAAGAGAATAAACACAAGCAGAATGAACTCCAAGAAGATCATGATCATCAAATCCAAGCATCACATCACAGGTACATTCGCATCCAAGCAATCTTTTCCTCAGGGTTCAAGTGATCTAAATCTAATGCTCACACCCCTCCCTTCCAAATGCCGTGTACACATTCCATTTTCGAAGCCCAGGATACACGAACAAATCCCTCCCGATGATGCATAACGACCGTTTCATCTGCAATATGGTACACGTGATGTATGTACAGATTGTCGGGCAACAGCAGCAAAACTCTCAAATGTTGTGTGTGTCACTTGACTTCCGATATCCTGGAAGTAGGTAGGTATGTATCTTGTATCTCGTGGCGAAAGGAACGTTCCGGTTTGTAATGAGTCACTTTTATGGACCTGAGAGAGTTGAGACTTTGTCTTACTTTTGAGTTTGGCCGTTGTTTAGAGTCACCTCTAGCCCACCTTCATGCAAAATAGATACGAAGTAGAATAGAGACTCAGTTCAAAGAAACAGGAACCTTCCTCCTTCCAAGTATGTTGAAGGTTCTAGAGACGGCGGAGAGTGCGGCAATGATAATAAGATGTCTCATAATACATTTAAACTCTTCGCTGAAGTTTTAAAAAAAGTCTTGAAACATTGTTTCTTTGGTGGGGTCTTAGGTGTAAAGAACTAGAAAGGGTCCATCCAAAACCCAAATCATACATACTATTGCAGCGAACCACTGTCATCAATGTGGGTGATTGCAGAAGATCTCCCGCAGGTGGCCGTCTCCTTCCCACCACCATGTAGAACAGAACCATCAAGCACGCAGTCGAACTGCGGGAGAAGCTCAGACAAAATTCTTTGCCTACAGTAGCGGGCTCGACGGGTATTTCAGGATGGATATCGGAGGGGTGTGCCCGTACGCCTAGCCACGCACAGCCTGATGTTGTGCATGTCAAGACCAACCAAAGAGGAAGATCCTTATGCGCCGAGAAGACATTGACTGGTTATTTCTTGAGATTTTCTTGCAACCCTTAGAATTAAATTGCCTGCCGAATATTCTGACCCCCCTCTATGATATCTATTTTTGACCGGGGAGGAGGAGTTACTATACTATTAGTTGGGGTTAGAATTGGGGCGAGCGAGCAGGGCAAAGGAAAATAAAATGTCGCTAAAATGTCTTAGTTTGAATGGACCAGGTTAAAATGATCCTATGACCATTCCTCGTACACTTTCAGAATATGCAAGCGCGGCTCTGCCCGTATCAATTAAAAATTACCGAGAATAATTGAGGAGGGAAAAGAATTGGAAACTTGGTAGATCTGCCGCGTTCCATTAAAAGTGGATTCACCGCTGCTCAAGTCATCTGTATCACACCTTTTGGGCGTAAATTCACATTTCAACCAACCATATCATGAGTAGAGATGCTTCTGTGAAGTTAGGGGGCGGTACGGTAGGAGGCTAGGAGTAGAACATTTCGAGTGTGTCTAGCGTGGTAGATGCACCGAAGAGTCATTTCTACTGCCGGTTTAATATCGATGATCTCGATACAGAAATAGGCCAGCCTTGGAGGATATTCTTTGAGAAATGATAGGCGCTACTCATACAAAGCCAGGAAGTGTTCTCAGCCACTGCGGGAAGAGGAAGGTGTAGAGACCTTGTGTCTTTATTCTATCAAGTCCAGAACATTCAGTTAGTCACATCTTCTCATGATCTTCACGGCGAAGCTTCAAAAGCATGTGAATCCAGTATTGAAGCCCAGGATTGCAGAGTGATAGAGCAAGGATTGAAAGACTTGAACCTCCTGAATCGTCTCGACAGGGCAAAGACAGGCCCGAGACCTCCCTCGTAAAAAGATGCCGAAGCCTTCCCTGACCAAAAGATATGGAGAATTTTGTTTCCGAGAACGCGCCGCGCGCCGCACTGTATCCAAATTTTGCTAGCTTCGAGAATAGCAGGGGGCTCAGCCATGGCTTTTGCGGTGATCCAATGGAACAGGCAGATTCATTAATATTGGTCAACTTTGAGATGTTGACCAATCGGAAGCTTTGGAAAGGTCGTCGACATCATGACTGCCAGCCTCCTGACCAATACGTACAGTATTGGTCTCGTCAATATCTTTGATCTGGATTTCATCTGAAGATTTTATATTAAACAATTTTGATACATTGGACAAATTCTCCAATACCCCAATTTAAATCCAAGATTCTACTTAGCCATCTATAGTAATTTTATTCAGTACAAATGAAGCTGTACTTTAACCCTTTCATAACTGAGCATCATACTAGCCTTACTGTTTGATAATGGAATGAGACGATTCGGTATATATGTAACATAACTTGGTATGAAACAGCGGCCTTGTGATTAAGTGGCAGTAAAGGAATCTTGTTTCGATTTATCTACATGCCAGCGCTAGATAGTTTCAAGGGGCCCTTTCACATCTCAGATGTACCTTCGTACTTTCTGCAGCGGACATAAACATACTGCCTACTGCTCCAAAGAAAGTTGGGAATTTCAAGCATAGATACATTGTGATAACGTGTGAAATCAGCCGGAGGATATGCAAAGAGATTGCTTGACATTTTTGTCTGAGTTCTGAATCCTTGAAAGATAAAGATCGACCAACTTGTTTACACGACGGCGGTCGGTTCCTCCAAATTGAGCGAGAGATAGATTTGAAGGGTATGAAGCTGCATATATTACCCCATTAGGCAATTGTCAACTTTTGCGGATCCACTAACATCGTGATAAATGTACGAGGATATTACAGGCTGATCTCATCTATATGTAATCTGAATATCCTTGAAGAAAAGTGTGAATCCCTGGAGGCACAAGTAGGTTTTCTTTTGTCATCTCTGTCGCTGTAAGCTTCAAAAATGTAGATATCAAGAATTACAAGCATGGTATAGAATTAAACATGATATCGTCATTGATTGTATAACTTGAGACATCTTATCGTCTCTCCATTAAAATATATGTGCCAGTGACCAAAACTTTCAAGCCCCGCGGCCGAAATACGATTGGTGGCTCGAGACGCGCATAATCTGGAACTTCTGAAGATTGAGGTTGTATCCGAAGATCAAAGGAACTTTCCTACATTGCATGTACTTTGCATGTAACTTGTACCCACAGCATCGAAAACGCGATTAATTCTACTTGTGAACAAAACACAAACTGTCTAGGTTATTCAACTCCGGTTCTCATCTGCAAATACAATCCAAAAGGTGGTAACGGCCGACTCCTTCCGAAGTAACATTCGATAAATGGATGGGAAAATTCCAAGGTTGACCCGCCGGGCGAAAGATATTATAGAAATTTAAGTGAAGCGGCGGCGCTTATTCGTCAATATCACCACATAACAACATACTCTGTACATCTTACTCGTAGAAGGGCTCTAACCTCTTACGAGTCTCATAATTTAAATCACCCCCTTCCATCTTTCCCATCTCAAGATTTTCATTCCTCGTTTCCCGTAACGTGGCTGGGCCGTCGGCTTGCTTGAAAAGTTACTTCCATTCCACAAGCGATCCATTTTTCCATTCCTCAATCCATATCACCGCATATCTTCAACAATACATATTATGCAAGCAAGCTCGTGGGGATCTGTCCGTCATACCCGCCCGCTTGAAGGAAGGATCCTATCAAGCCCAACATCTTCCTCAATACCCTAGTTAGTTTGTTTAACCACGAGCACAAGTCATAATCAAATCGAAACAGACCTTACGACCTTATGCCAAAAGTTACATACCATACAGAATCTTGTGAAGATCGGATATTTTGAGAATAAAGCACCTGCCATCCAATGATAGTCTACTTAGATCTTAAATATCTCGGACATTATCACGAGTAAGTACGAGAACTACCAGAAGTTACCAAAGACGCAGATGAATCAAATCGTGCACGGCAACATTATTATTACCTGACCAGGATTGAGATATAATACCGTACATGGAATATATAATTTTCTCGGACCTTTGGATCCCTCAACCTTGAAAGCTTCTTTATTAGGATCCTTACGCTATAGGTCAAACTGCAAGAGAAACGACTTTTCATATCACAAAAAAGGAATACCATACAGATATCCAAAACCTCAGATCTAACAGGTGTCGACCAAGTCAATAATATCCTTATTCGTTTTATTCCCTAGGTCCATTCATATAAATTATCATATTTCTCATTTCGGACAAATGAAGGGACTTAGCTGCTGATACTCGATTTCATTGGCGGCCAGAATATCATCTTAGAATTCTCCTACTTGCCCCTCGTCAGCTGGTTCTTCCAATCACAAAGGAAAGTTGAAAAGATACCTTGGAACGTACTACCGTACCTCGTCCTTGCGTCTGGCGCAGCGAGTCTTTGCGTAGCATTTGTCGGAATAGTTACTAGGATTTACAGAATCCGCAAGCAAATCCGTTTCTGATAACGATATAAGGAAAAAAAAAGAGGAGCCTTTCTGGTATTCTGGTTGAGTACCTATATACTCCTAGGTACTTGTAAGAAGTTGTACAGAACTGACTCGGCTTTTAATTAGTAGTTTTATTTCTCTCCACCTATCATTTTGAACATTTGATAATTTTTGACGCTACTTTACTCTCTCTTTTGATTGATTATATCACATCGCAAAGAGAGAAGACAAAAAAGACAGAGAGAGAGAGTATAAGAGTGTCTCGCTTCGAAATTGACTAGACCCCCTTCATCGATTCATTCATCCTATGTACCGAGCGAGCCCTACCTAAACAAAACATCAAAGCCGAAGGAATCAAAAACCAAAGAAAGGAGTCTATTCATCATCTTCCCCCCATCTTCCCTCCTTGAACCTTAACTACAGAGTACAGAGTACAAAGTTCATAACATATCGATAAATCTTTTTTATCTACTCGAGCAAGGGGTACCGGTACCATTATCCCACGAGTTCGTTACGAATAAAAGACCGCCTGTTGATCAGTGAGAGATAAAATCGTGGGGTCGGCCGTGCTTACCTGATCTCATCAACTTCTTCTTACCCTCACCTTGCACCAAGCTACAAAATACGATTACCCATAACCTTTTACCATACTACTACCGACACGACCAGAAAGAGCCATAATACTGTACCTGAGAAAGAGCATTCCCGTCGAATATCCATTTCATCGACCTTTATGAAAATTATTCTTACTTGTGGGATACTATATTTCCACCTTATCTATCTCTTCAACGAACAAAAACCAAATCAACGAAAAATCGAATGAATACAACACAAATACAATACAATACAATACAGAAAGAAAACGACAAAGAATTAGACCTCAAAATATATATACATATTTATATTTGGGAAGTCGTTTCATATTCCGTATTAATTCCCATTTTCCGGGGATCCAATAAACTCGACATCTTTTCCGTTCAAGGGTCCTTTTCCTTATCCGCTCGGCTTGGTATCAGCAACCCTCCCCCTCCTAAACTACCCTGCCCTACATACATAACAGTATATCCACCAATCCACCAATCCACCTATCCACCTACTCATCCACATCCACTGCTCCTCGTACATACTCCGTACATATATTCAATCAATACCTTGAACCACCAAACAGCTACATTATTCATTATTACTATTACCTACTCCATACAGAATTATAATAAGTGTCCGCATGCATGGTGCAGAAACAAATCGGTTCGTTAGGTTAATGCAGCTGAACGGCCTTTACGCCGCAGTCATCAAATCTTGGAGCTTGCCATCTCCATCTCCATCTCCATCTCCATTTCCATCCTCCATCTTTCCGTACTACCCTTCTTTTTTTTGCGACAGAAGCGCAAACGCGCCGAACGTGAAAAAAAGTCTCAGGAGTCGGCGTCAATTTAATATCATATATCTCGTCGCCCCAATACTCCCTTAAAAGTACTTTGGATTTTATTCCTTTGTACGGCTTTCCATCGATTCATTCGTTGCGTTGCGCATTTCATCATGTACTCGGCCGTGACAAACGGTCTTGGAGGGGGTGGTAATGAAGGTCCATTTCAACCCACAACCATTAATCCTCAAGCTCTCAACCAAGGTAACTAGATTTTTTGTTAGCAAGTATTCGTGCGACTTGGGGATATAATCTTCAATTTTCCAATTCCCCCAAATATATACACAGCTATATAATCATATATTCTTTCTTATCTTCGAGTTGTGGACTTTTTACTGACTGACCGAATTCTGCGATATGATAGGAGCTCTCAACCCCTCCCCAGCATTATCACCAAACGAAAATCCTAGAGGGATAAAAAGGAGTCGCTCTCCAGATGTATATCGTGAATTACCGCAGACTGGGAACCTGGCGGATGATGGTATGTTATTCAATATTACATCTCGGCTTTCGCCTTGTTCGCTCCTACCTGTAACGATATGTTACATGCGCACTTACTTTACCTCTTCTGATACTGATGTCTTATCATAGGTGACTCAAAACCGCGAAAGCGAGGAAGGCCAATGAAGCTGAAGGCAGCCGTCAATACATCAGGAACCCCCCAACAAAGTCAAAGTCAAAGTCAAATGTCGCATTCATCCCAGACCCAGGGCGGCCAACCGCAGACTCCTCAGTCACAACACACAGTTTTGCCTCACAACCGTACACCGGTCTTGAATTCGGCTCAAACTCCTGCCCTGAAACCAACACCCAAGCCAGTTGTCAAAGCTTTACCAACTGTGAGGGATCACACAACAGACCAGTTAGGTGCCGGAGGCGATGAGTATATTCCCCGGGAATATGATGAGCAAGGCGAGAAAAAGGTTACTACCAACGGTCATTTAATGGATGGACGCGAATACAGGTGTCGAACATTCTATGTGCCAAATCGAGGAGACAAGCTGTTTATGTTGGCAACAGAATGTGCTAGGGTACTAGGTTATCGCGACTCATATCTACTCTTCAACAAGAATAGATCTCTATACAAGATCATTGCAACTCAGGCAGAGAAGGAGGATTTGATTCATCAGGAAATTCTACCCTTTTCATACCGCTCCCGACATATAGCGATTGTTACTGCAAAGTCGATGTTCCGGCAATTTGGCAGCAGAGTCATTGTTAATGGACGACGTGTCAGAGATGATTACTGGGAATCCAAAGCACGTAAGCAAGGATTCACAGAGGATGATCTGGCTGGGGAGAAGAGACCGGGTGCAGCGAAGGCCAGAGACGCTGTTGCCGCTGCCGAGGCTTCGGCTGCTCTCGCCGTGACCCACCATCATTCCGATATTTACAGCAATGGCCCGGGACACTATACGTACCCGCAACCAACCGTTCCATCTGTTATGATGGGTATACCTGGTACCACCAATCCACTTCCTATGATAACCACCCTTGCGCCGGAACAAACTGATATGCGTTTGAGAGACTACAGCAATATTTCACGCCCAAGACAAGAACTTGCCGGGACCGCGTATCAAGATAGGACTCAACTCAGTTCATACACGGATCTCTCGAACCATGTACACCAAGCTGTTGAATACAGCAAGCATATCGGTCAGCAACGAAGTCGTAGCCAAGAATATCTCGAACGAAGGTGGAGACAACCTCATGAAGTTGCTGGGGGTAATATAGTGCAGCCTGTTGGTACTCACGACAGTGTTCCACCTACTCAAGCTCTGCACTCACCTCGAGCATCTCAAAGTATCGCACAACAGCCAACCTTAGCTCGCCACGGCCCACAGCATGTCTCATATTCACAGGCTTCTCATCCACCTGGTATTGTTTCACAACCTACCGCGAGATCTACTTCATCAAGGCAGGAGCAGATATCTGGAAGATCCCCTAGCATGTCAATTGCATCTGCGGGCAATTTGAGCCAAGGGACGAATTCTTATCAATTCACGTCTCAAAATCAAATGTGGCCATCTAGTCAACCACAACAGCCTCCGCAGCAACATGCGTTTAACCCTATCTACCCGCCCCATCCTAGCCAGCAATCGCCACATATACAACAATCTCCTCATCAACCTCCCCCTCCTCAACTTCGACAGTCAGGAAGCAATCCTCAAATGCAACCCGCTTTACAATATGCTGGCATGCAAGGAATGGGTCAGGGTTATCCCGCGCCTCCTCGAAATATCTACCAACCCGATTCAAACAATCAACACTATATGCAACCTGTAACATCCGGACCTCAGCCTGGCGCTCAGGGCTGGGCTCCACAACAACCTGTTGGGACCAGCGCTTCTTGGGGTTGGACCGGTCAATCTCAATAAAGAAGAGAGAAGTGAGAGGAAAGACGACATAATCACGACAGCGGTGGCATGATGATATATAATAAATGTCGAGATATGAAAATGGAACGGAAGGAACAACGCGATACCCAGAATCCCTACGCCACAGTAATTGGCAAATACATCTAATCGACAACAATTTGCGCTTTCCATCACGCATCGAATCTCAGATGGTTGCACACCAATGGGAGAAGAAGTTGGCATCATATAATATGTCTGGGTCGGATGCTCCTGCATTTAGGGAGATTTTCTTTGTACATCTATACCTAACGCTACTATTAGTTTTTGCTTTATTATCCCGTTCGATATCCTCTATAGTTCTAATTCTTTCCTTTCTAACTGTATTTTCTTCTTCAAACTCATCACCTAATTCCTGGCCAGATACCTTTTATTACGATGAAATGTGCTTGACACTTTCATTCTCATTCTTGCTTTTACTACTTTCATGTTACATTTTAATTTTCTGTTCCCTTAAAACTTTCAATACGGAGGATTATTTTCGTGGCAAGGGCATGCATGCATGGACGCATAGGGTTAGCTTTGTTTGAAATTTTGATTCATGAGCAAGGCATACATTGATGGAATGATTTTATTTCTTGGGGTGGCTTTCTCCAGAATACAGGGTATTATGGGATGGATAGGATAGGATATACTCGAGTACATATTTGCATTGATTGCATTGCGTGCAAGGCTTTGGCATATGATGGATTGGGATTCAATTGGGGTTACTTACACCTATTAGTTATGGAAGTACAGTACATATTTGATGTATGGATGGATGGATGGATGAATGAATGGATGGATGGATGGATGGATGGATGAATAATGGATGATTGACTGTGTGGGTGGGATGGGAGGATTGGGAAATTGGGAAATGGAGTTTGGGGTGGGATGGGACGGAATACCTCGATCTGCCTTGATGTTTTGCATGGGGGGGGGGTTTTCGAAGGGCGGGACCTTGGCTTGTGTTGGCTTAGCTTGGCTTGTGTTATGTTGTTGGAGAGGGGTATATTGCATTCTATTATACTATCGTAGTATCATTTTCTTGGTCGATCCATTGTTGATTTCTTCTTCCCCCGAGAATTTGAGATTGTGTCGTGCGGTGTGGTGTGGTGTGGTGCGTTTGCTTGCATTATATTATGGAGGGGAAAGGGGGGAGGATTATGGCAAGGTATAGTATGCTATGGTATAGGCTTTTGTGTTTTGTGTTTGGGGTTGTGGTGGATGGTGGATGGTGGTTTGGAGGGGAGAGAGGGGGAGGGGAATGGATCTATGAACCTATGGATCTATGGATCTATGCATTTTTAGGTGAGGAGGTGAGGAGGATGAAGGGAAAGGGGAAAGAGGAAAGGGGAAAGGGGGGAAGGAGCGGAGGGGGGGAGAGGTATATATGCATGCATGGATATGGATATGGATATGATATGGATATGGATGGATCATGGATGGGATGCATGATAAGATTGATTGAATGAATGATTGAACGAATGAATACCTGCAGATACTTGTCGTAGGTAATGTTGTTGTTGATGTGTTGTTGATGTTGATGTTGATGTCAAGATGAGATGAGATAACATAAGATGAATGGAATATTAATTAGTATGAGGATTAGTATGAGTATTTTTGGCGAAATTTTGGGATATTTTGGGTGGGTGCTTTTATTTTAGTTTGCTTGTAGTTTGTGTGGAGTGGGTGAGGGGGGGAGGTGAGGGGTGTGGATTGAGGGTTGAGGGTTGGTATATGTATGTATGTGAGGTATAGTTTATTGTAGAGTTGTGGAGTTGTGGAGTTGTGGAGTTGTGGAGTTGTGGAGTTGTGATAATGTGGTGATAATACTCGAGTAAAATGATGGTAGGTGGGTGGGTAGGCGGATGGATGGGTTAGGGAAGATGAGGGATGGGATGGGGATGGGATGGATGTTGGGATGTTGGTGGGATGGATAGGGAAAGATGAGGGAAGATGAGGGAAGATGAGGGAAGATGAGGGAAGATGAGGGAAGGGGGTGGGATGGGATGAGATGCAGGTGCTGATGGTGAGGGTGAGGTAGGGGAGGATTAGAGTGGTGTATTCCGGGAAACAAGAAGGATTTGGAAAGGAATTGGGAATGTAATTGGGAAAGAAATCTTATCTTATCTTGTATTGTGTCGTGTTGTGTTTATTGATTATGATTATATTTATATTTATTATTATTATTATTATTATTACTATCATCTCTGGAGTGAGTACTGACAGTGTATGAGTAAGTGAGTGAGAGGGTGCAGTTAGTGCAGTGAGTTAAGTGTAATGAGTAAGTAAGTGAGTAAGTGAGTAAATGAGTAAGTGAGTAAGTGAGTAAGTGAATAAGCATAAAGGAGTTGATTAATAGTATATAGGAAGGAGTATTGATACAGGATTAATAATTCGGTTGATAGATGGGAGATGAGAGATGAGATGAAACATGAAACATGGGATGATATTGATGATATTGATAGGTATTGCCGGCGGGGGAAAGGAAGAAGGTGGAGTTGGAGCTGGGATTGGGATTGGGATTGGGATGAGGGGAGGGGAGGGGAGGGGAGGGGAGGGTGAGGGAAGATTCTAGGAGTATAAGTACTGTAGAAGTGTGGGATTGGAAAGCAGAGGGGGGGGAGAGGGGGGGCCGGAAGGAGATGGGAAGATTCTGTAGATGGAGATGGTGATGATTGTAAAATAAAGGCATGCAATGCAATGCAGTTATTAGTTGTTGATCTCTGTATGGTATGTTGATTCGCTCTGTTCTTGTTACGTTACGACAATTTCTATCGAATGCTGTATTATCTCTCTAATTCTAATTCTCGCTAGCTGCACTTCTTTCTATCAACGAAATTTTTCAAAATTTGCAACAACAGTTTTCTGGGTCTAATACTGGAAAATAAAATAAAAAACAAAACTAAATTAAACCAAAGCATTAGAGATTTCTAATTCAACACCAGCACCATCCGACCCGTCAGTTCTAGCAATAACTTTCACGCTGGATAAATCTTGCACAACCCAGTCGGCGCCGGCTTCAAGTACTTGCTCGATGGTGTGCGTGGTAACTACGGCGAGAACTTTGCAGCCGGCGGCTTTACCGGCCTGGATCCCGGCGGGGCTGTCTTCGAAGACGAGGATGGAGTTGAGGGGGGTGGTGTGGAGGTTTAGTTTGAGTTTGCCTAGGTTGTAGCAGGCTGTGGGGGGGGAAGCGTTAGTAGGTAGGTGGTTGTGGGTCAGGTGGGGTGAAAGATGTGTGGGGAGCGAGGAGTGATGGGCACACGAACCTGGGTCGGGTTTTCCGTTGGGAACATCTTCGGCTGAGATGAGATGCTCGGGGATAGGTAGGTTGAGGACGTTGAGCCAACCGGTTACGAGTGGTGAGGTGCCGGATGTTACGATGGCCCAGGGGTGGGCGCCGGTAATTAGCGAGTCGAGGAGGGAGCGAGCTCCTGGGATTTCGACGGCGTCATCGCCGTAGAGTTTTGGGAGGAGTCCTTCCATGTGTTTTATATCTGGTTGGTTATGTCAGGTTGATGATCGCTTGGATATATGGAAATCAATGGATCTGGTGTTGTGTTGTGATGATATGTGAGGTTGGATAAGGGGGATTTGGTGTAATATTCCCATGTGGGGTTAAGCAGGTAGACTCTGCATTGATTTGCAACGAAGGGGGTCGATTCCCCCAGAAGGTTCAAACGTGATCCTTAGCTAGAGGATGAATGTCTTTCCTCATCTAAGACAGAGTTCGAGAACCAAACTTGGTCTTCGAACTATTCTCTTTGTGTTTCACCAGTAGTGAGAGAATAACCAGAGCAGAAAGCAGAAAGCTCAGGTTGGGGAGAGGGGGAAAGGTTAAGGTGAGATAAGGAAATGGGTTATTAGAGGTTTGAATTGAAGGATAGCCAAAACCTAGAGCTTACATTCCCAATTTGCTTTTTCTGGAGCAATAATTCTCAAGACATCAATACTTCTTCTTCCATGACTTGTCTGTAAAATCACATTAGGATCTACTCCTATTTCCTCTCCTAATCTGAGTCTCTCTGTTATTTCATAGTTCCCATCATCATTCTTGGCAAGGGTGATCTTACTTATGCCAATGTTTAACGATAGCATCAGTACTATCAATGATAGTACCATCCATATCAAAAAGTAGCCCCTTGAAGACTACTCTTTGAGGCGAAGCAGAGAACTCTCTTAGAACAGAACCCATGATCTCTACTAATTCAAAAACAATTGAATCTGATGAAATAAGCTGATCACAGGGATCAAAATCCAAGTTACCAAAAGGAAAATGGTGGGGTGGATGTTGAGATATGTTAAATTGGCGAAAGGAACCCTTTGACCAGTGTCTTGAAATTTGAGATTCTCCTCCTTCAGATGAGATATGCAACAAAACTTTTGTTTTTTGATAGATTCAGACCTTCTAAATGTTAAATCCTTTAGTGAAGTATTGTAACAAATTTCTTGAGGTGGGAAGGTTGAATGGTCAAAATGAAGAATGAATAGAAGTCTAATTGTTTTGATTCTGACACGGATATGATGGATGTTGACGTGGGCGGGGAGCACAAGCAATAAATAGAGGGCGTATACTCCGTAGAGAGTCACGGTGGCTCGTTCCTCAATGAATGAAGCGGGAGAAATCATGTGATCCATTGTCGGAGTTACGTTATTTGGAATAGTGTCATTAAATTAGAGTACTTTGGGCTTAGTGTTGATGGATTAGAAAATAATTTTATGTGAGATAAGGATTTTGGAAAATCTAAAATATTCTATATCCAAAATACTCAAATTCTCAATATCAACAGCATCTATTTGAGAATTGCACAATAGTACAGCACTCAAGATGCCTAAAGTTGGAAGTAAGTATTTGACTTCTTTGCTTTTGATGGATATTGTAACTAATTGATTGGGAAATAGAGCCAAAGAGTAAACGTGTTTCGGTGCGTCTTCGTCACAAGGTCGAGAAAGCATCAGCGGCAAAACAAAGGAAAGCTCGTAAGGATGGAAAGAAGAATCCAGAATGGCAATCGCGGTTAAAGAAGGATCCTGGAATTCCAAACTTATTCCCATATAAAGATAAGATCTTGGCAGAGATTGAGGAAGGGAGAAGGAGAAAGGCTGAAGATGCTGTGAAACGACGAGCTGATGCGAAGGCTACTAAGACTGGAGAACAAGTTGAGAGAGATGTTGAGGCTAGAATGGAGGGTGTGGATGAGGAGGATATCGAAGATGAGGATGAGGACGAGGATATGGATGGTGAGGATGATGATGATGATTCCAATCCTATGGCAGCTTTACTTGCCAGTGCCAGAGCCGCAGCAGCGCAATACGAGGACGACCTTGTTAGTGGCGATGATATGGACGAAGATGACGATTCAGAATCAGAGGACGACGATGCATTCGACGGTGTTAAGCTTGCGGGATTACCTACAAGAAAAGATGGATCAAGAAAAGCTTTCGACAAGGTTTTCAAGGAAGTTGTCGATCAGGCGGATGTTGTACTCTACGTTCTCGATGCTCGCGATCCCGAAGGCACCCGATCGAAAGAAGTCGAACGTATGGTTATGGCTGCTGCGAGTGGTGGAAAGAGGTTGATTCTTGTTCTCAATAAAATCGATCTTATTCCTCCTCCAGTTCTCAAAGCTTGGCTCATTCACCTCCGAAGATATTTCCCTACCTTACCACTACGAGCTTCTGGTCCAGCAGCAAACGCACATACTTTCAATCATAGTCAATTGACTGTGAAAAGTACATCGCAAACACTTTTCAAGGCTCTGAAATCATTTGCTGCGGCGAAACAACTCAAGCGCTCCATTTCTGTTGGTGTTATTGGATATCCTAACGTTGGAAAATCCTCCGTCATCAACGCCCTCACATCCCGTCTTGGTGGTGGGGGTGCAGCATGCCCCGTTGGTGCCGAAGCTGGTGTTACTACATCTCTCCGATCAGTCAAAATTGATAGTAAATTGACGCTACTCGATTCTCCCGGTATCGTTTTCCCATCCGCAGGTGATTCATCAAAGTCCTCGAAAATTGAAGAACAAGCGAGACTTGTTCTCTTGAACGCTATTCCCCCTAAGCAAATCGAAGACCCCGTACCCGCAGTTGCCTTACTATTGAAGAGATTGAGCGCTAATCAAGATATGCTCACTAAACTTATGAATGTTTATGGATTACCACCATTGGTTTCCGTAAATGGCGATACAACCTCGGATTTCCTGATTCAAGTTGCACGAAAGAGAGGAAGACTTGGGAAGGGTGGTGTACCAAATTTGAATAGTGCTGCTACGACGGTTATCACAGACTGGAGAGATGGAAGAATCCAGGGATGGATGGATGCTCCTATTTTGGCCATTGCCCCAGACAGGATAGCTGGTGCAGATGTCGGAGAGGATGTGAAGGGTGATCAAAAGCAGATTGTCAAGGAGTGGGCTGAAGAGTTCAAGTTAGAGGGATTATGGGGAGATAGTTCTTCCAAGAATGAAGTTATGGAGGAATAGATTTTTTGTTACGAGGAAAAAATAAGGAATATCTTTGTGGATGATCATCAGTATGGTGTTTGGGCGTAATGGCTGGGATCAAAAGTTGGCCAGGTCAGTTTGTTGTAGAAATGAATTTTACAGCAGAGAATAATCAACAATACAACAAGCACTTTCAACTATGGCAATCTTTAGTCATTTTGCATGTTTGCATTATCCTAAACATTTCTATCTTTCTAGCGCTGCCTATATATTGAGGCCATTACTCGAGTAGGATGATTATCCATACAACCCATCTAAACGCTAACAACTAACTATGTCGCAATGAGGAACTTCCTTGATTCCTCCTACGCTCCACAATCAAACTCCTTGTTTCAACCACAGTATCTCTCTCGTCGTTTACACACAAGACCCATTCCATTGCATGGGTTGCAGGATTACAGCTACAGCTTGTAACGGAGATAGGTCTTTGGTATAAGTTTTGTTCGAAACCATCAGCCTAACAGTCAGTAGCTGCATTGAATTCGTCAACATCATTCTCTCACGCTCACATCTCTCAATTCAGAAAATTTGTCAAAGTGATTTCCAAACCGAAATTTCGGCTTTCCACTATCACATCATCCAACGAAGTTAACCTAAGATCAACAAGATCAACAAGATCAACTAGGAAAAGCAATGAAGGGTCGTCCGAAGGATAAAACTCCTGATGTCCCTTGTGATCTTCTGATAGGCTGAGCTTAAGATGTTAGTTGAGACTTTTGATTTCTGAGCTCACTATCAACATTCAATCCACTTGAACCTCAAGCTGTATTCAAAAATCACAGCTTCTGGAACATCCAAAGCTTCCGTCTCGGAATTTGATTCATGGGAACGAGTACATGTGCCGACCAAACAATATCATCGTCAGCCGAACGTCCTAAGAAAGTCATACCGTATCATATGCTTCATCCCACCCCGATGAATTCTCACGAGTCTCATCTCGCAACATTTAGTTAATAGCCAGGGTCATATGGTCAATCTCGAGAAGAGTCAAACTCCAAGCTGAAAGCTTGCAATGTTCAAGTTGATTGTGCGGGCGATAATAGAGCAAATGAGCTTTATCTCGACCCATAGACCATGTTTCCTCAGGAATATTTAAGTTTTCTGGTGAAAATTGACCACAAATAGCAGGGCAGCGCTTTGATGGTACCAAAATGTGAACGAGTGCGAGCTCGAATGAACAAGTACTGCTTATTGTACTACTTGAGTTTCCGGCAAAGTGCACATCGAATCTCCGAATTGACTAGGCAATAAAATCGAAAACTTGGCATCGCCACCCCACTGGACGTTATCCATACTGTCAGGTGAGCGGCGTGGACCTCAGCAATGAGATAAGAGAGGCATAGCTTGAGGTAGGCACCGGCTCTGGGTCTGCGCGATTGATGACTCTCTTTCCATGTTCGAACTTCGAAATAATGCACGGGTCCTGTTACATATTCTAGGCACTACTTTTGCCACTGGGGATCCAACTTGGACGCACATATAGTGTAGATGGGGTGTAGAATGCAGCGGAGGTCTCGAAGAGTTTATCCAGATGATCTTGCCTGGCTTACTCGACTTCTTAAGGTAGAGTGCGACTGAGCCTAATCGACCTGCAACGTACTCGTCGATTGCCTGATTTTGGTCCTGAACGGTGCTGATCTCGAATTGGGTATGAGCCTGGCAGCCATTTCACCCTTTGAACCAGAATTGTGATGTTTTTTCAGTTGATCAGAGCTGGTTGAGATGATCTTATTGAGGATCAAAGAGATCGGAGAGGTAATAAGTGGTTATTGTGTGTAGATAGATATGAATATATTATTAAAAGATTGGTTGTGGAGAAAGAAGATCATTGTTAGTGATAATGGCGTAAAAGCGTGGAAGTAGTGATCAAATCAATGGGTAAAGATGCGGAAAAGGCAGAAAAGGACTCGGAGTTAGAGGTAAGGTACTCTCTAGACATTTGCTAGATAGAATACTGAAACTGGAAGGTTCATAATACACAGTCGCAGATATATCAAATGTCTAATGTCTGAGAACAATGATGCTGGATCTTATAAATTAGGGTTCACCTCCTTTCGACCAACTATTTAAGTATTCTTCAAAAATCAAGAATTAACAATATCATCAAGGTATTTGCGTGTATGCAATCGGGTGCGATTGAGCGTTTAGTCAAGATTAGTCCTATCAATAGATCAAACAAAATTGGGCATTTTAATAATAAAACATTAGAGGATATCTAAAAGTAAATAAGAGGTTTTTAGAATCTATCATAAATTATTCTATATTATAGATTCTAGTCTCCTTCACTACTTATATAGATTCTATGCTCACATTATAAACTCGTAAATTCTACCCTTCTACAGATCCTACTCTTCCTAAAATAGACTCTTTAATCGATCATATACGAATTCTATAACCTCTCTCCCTCCTATTCTCTCTAAGGTAGTTTTAGTTCTCTTAGATGGAGTCTCTCTTTATTTACTATATAAAATGTCAAAAGAAAAGTCCAAAAGAAGAAAGGGCGTTGCCCGGGATTGAACCGGGGACCTCTTACATGAATATTTAATCTGTGATAACCAAATGATCCCTAAGCAAGAATTATACCACTAAACCACAACACCAATCATATAATTGTTAGTACTGTGGCCAATAAGTGCAATATAGCGGCGTTAAAATTACCCGTTTCTTAGCTTCATTCTTTATCCTATTTTGTTGTTGTGTTGTGGTGGAGTCCTGTGGAGTTGAGTTCAGTCCAGCTTCGCCTAAACGATAAGCAAAGCACTAAGGGCTTTGTGTACTAGCATGATGGCTGTCACTGTTCCGGCTTATCTTTGGGTAATTAGTGATAGGCTCATCCCTTTGCTGAATCTGCAACAGTAACCATTCTCCCCTTCACTCTCGACACATACAATTATCACCCACTGGATATTCTCTGTTCTTCTTGATTGGAGCGCAAGCACATATCGTCCTATGTACTTCATGATTGGACTGCTGCTGCTGCATATTCTGCAGAATAATACTGCTGGTGCGGCGTATGCATCCAGCCTGTATAATTGTCCCACCCCGCTTCAAAAAGTTGGGGAAAAAGTATCCATCATGAAGTGGGTAATTCTGTGGGGTTGCGTCTAAATGACAAAACCTTTCGAATGGTAAGTATAAGGATACAGTTGTACTACCCTGTGGAAGTATTTCATGGCTCCTATGTTTATTATGTGTTAAAGTAAAGTGCAGACCAGCAACACTTCGTTATGTTGATATACATCAATTTACTTCTTATTTTAACATGTTGGGTGCAGGGTGTGGTTCTCCTTGGTTGGTAGCATGCAAAATGCTCGCATCAAGACGTACAAGATAGATGTTTTATAGAATGTTGTCAGTCATTGCACTAGGGATTTCCAAGGAAGATTTCTGATCCGTGGTATACACACAGGTCTCATGGGATGAACACTCCAATCTCGTTCGTGGTTGAACGTATTATGATCTATTCCGGTGAAGTTCATCCATTCCGTCTTCCATCCCCAGGACTATGGCTGAATGTCTTTCAGAAAATTAAGGCAATGGGCTTCACTGGTTTTCCTTCTACACTTACTGGGGATTACTCGAAGGAAACCCTGGACAGGTTGTTACAAATGGAGGATTCAGTCTTGGTAAGTTCTTCGCTGCTGCGACTGAAGCTGGAATTTATTTGATTGCTCGTCCTGAACCATATATCAATGCCGATACAGCAGCTGGCGGAATCCCAGGTTGGGTACTTAAGATCAAAGGAGTCATAAGATCTACAAATCAGGACTATCTTGACTCAACTCAGAATTATGCTTCTACGATTGGCAAATTTATAGCCAAGGCGCAGATAACAAATGGTGGTCCTGTGATTATGGTCCAACCTGAAAATGAAAATGCTTCTTGGCCAGGCGTCACTGATTTCCCAATCCAAATGAACAAGGATTACATGGCGTTCGTAGAGCAACAACTTCTTGATGCGGGGATTGTAGTTCCCTTTGTGGTGAACGACAATTTGAATATAGAAAATTTTGCACCGGGGAGTGGGTTGGCAGAGGTGGATCTCTATGGAATTGATGCTTATCCTATGCGTTATGACTGTGGCGATCCATACATTTGGCCAACTTACAGATTTCCAAAAACTTGGGAATTAACTCATGCGAATTTCAGTCCTTCGACTCCTTCTACCATTGGCGAATTTCAAGGTGAAGGCGGAGATGGGTGGTGAGTCTGACCAAGATCGATTCTACAGAAAATCTATTAATAATACATCTAGGGGCGTTGTAGGAGAAGATCAATGTGCGATCCTTACCAACAATGATGCGATTAAGATTCAATTCAAGAATACTTACAGCTTTGCCGTGGCAATATTCAACGTCTACACGGGTAAATTTTCATACCGAATTCTTAATTCTTCCACTTATGATTGCTAAATTTCTGGAAGATATACAGGGGCACCAACTGGGGAAACCTTGGGTATCATGGTGGATACACATCTTATGATTATGGAGCTTCAATCACCGAAGACCGTCAGGTCTGGCGGGAAAAGTATAGCGAGATGAAACTCGAAGCCAATTTCTTTAAAACATCAACCGGTTACTTGACAAATACACCTGGACATGGTGCGAATAGTACTTATGGTGTTCCAGCTCAGATTGCTGTAACCCCATTATTTGGTGCTATTAATAATGGTACGAATGGCACAAGAACCAACTTTTACGTGATCCGGCACGCAAATTTCACGTCCCTCGCAAGGACCTTGTACAAGCTCAATGTCAATACATCTCGTGGCAACATTACGATACCTCAACTAGGCGGATCATTAATAATGAATGGTCGAGATTCGAAAATACATGTTACAGATTACGATATCGGAGGAATCAATATGATATATTCATCAGCCGAAATTTTCTCCTGGGCCAAGAGTAGTAAATCAGGTCGAGTTTTGGTACTATATGGTGGGAATGGAGAGAATAATGAAGCTGCTATCCCAGTCTCTC